ATTTTAGTCTTTTAATGAAGAGAAACGAAAAAAATTCTGATGATTTCTATATTTATCATTACAATAATTTGTAGTTCTGTTCACATTTACCTCAAGTTTTCGAATAATTCTTGGGGTAATTGTAAATAATTTATTATTTATCAACTAAATTGACAAAATTAAAAAATCAAAGTCAATTTTTGTTTTAGCATTACATAATTATAAATTTTGGTTTGAATTTTTAGTTTATTTTTATGCAAATGCGACTCAAAATACTAAAACTGTGAAACATTGATTTTCAATGTTTTATGTATTGATAGATAATTTGGAGTACGATATTGGCAATTGTCAAAATAAAATATTGATAATACTCCGAACCTCTTACAACAGGTGAGCTGAGGTTAAAATGTTGTCGTGTTACATAATTTAAAAACTTTAAATTGATCTGAAAAATCAACTGTTTACATTTACCCCAAATGATCCTAATTGACAAAAATTAAATTAATTTAGCATTAAATCTTTAATTTAACTTTGTGAACTTATTTTAAGTAAATTTATATCCAGGCAAATGAGAGTACTCCTAACTTCAATTCATTCTGTAGACGCAATAATTAATAGTCTAAGAATAATTTTAGGAAAATTTCTGTATAAAAACACTTGTAAAGTAAAGCTAAAAAAGAGTGTTTAATTAAATGAAGTAAAAACCAGTTTTTTATAATCTTTGATGAGACAGAAGTCAAAGATTCTTCTATGAAACGAATTGCTTGTAGCAAAGCAAAGACCCTTTTTTCGTAGAGTTCTACATTCACATTTATCAACATATTGTGAGAACATCTTTTTACGAAATGAGATTTAAAACTCTTGATGACTCCTTGATTCAACGGCTGTAGAATTAAGGTCACGTTATGTTAGGAGGGGAAAAAAAGTTAGTTCAGTACTTGTCAAATTCTCTATTGTTCAGTGAACAGTAAAGTTGTCTACAAACACTAGGATTTTTTTCTGTCCTTCTTCCTTAATTCTTTATTCCACTCACTAAATTCGGTTAAAAAATTTTTTGATGTCATTCATAATTATTTATTTTATTGATATTTAACTGCGGTAACTTTTTCATTTTTTTTAAATGCCTAGGATTTTTTTGATTTTCCAGTGACAAATAATTTTCTTTTTTCCGTTCCAGAAAGTTTCGCGCCACGAAGAGCAGCTACCCTTTCTTTAGACAATTATCCAACAACACTTTCTTCACCTTTAAAACAAAGTGTCTTATCAGGCAGTACATTTTAAAACACAAGTTTCATCCAAATTAAATAAATTTTTTTTTCATAACTTTATCATTAACTTTTTTCCAGACAATTTCAATATTCATCATCATTCTGTCATGCGAATTTTCCAACTTGGAACTCTGTAACATAGATCTATTCATTAGAATGTTCTAGGATCTTTGAATTTTTAACTATTATCCCTAGAGAAATTGAATAGTTAATAGAAATAATTATTTGAGTTTAAGTAATATTCAATTAATAATATTGAAATTGAACGGTTTTGTTTTAAATCATAAAAACTCTTTATTTGACTTTATATTGGCTTAAAATAAATAGCATAATTTTTTAGAAATAAGCCTAAAAAATATTTCAGATGAATAACGTTTTGTCTATTTGTTTTCGTGAGTTACGTTTTTTATAATTGTTTCCTTGAATAATGTGTTTTCATTTAGGAGCCATAAAACTAGTACAACCTTGGCAATTTTTTCCTCTATTTGAGACTATAATTTTGAGTTTGGTCTAAACGATTGTTTTTAAAAATTAGTAGTCTAGAAATTACATTATTTGGTGATTGTTTAATGAAACATTAGTTACTCGCATGTGATTGGATATTTACTACTTGTACAATCAAGAAGAATTAGTTTATGACTACGTGCTTAAATCCTTTCGAATAACACGCTTCTATTTAATTTAGGGTCAATGACAAATGATAAACATTGTTATTCAACTGAATTGTTATTTTCCTATATCAATATTTTGCCAAGTCATATAAATTGTGTCCGAAAATCACAGAAATCTCAAGAGTAGAATTGTCCTGTATTGTCCGTTTATTGAATTCTTGTTAGTCTTAACGATATTCTAAATTGGTGAAATATTTTAAAAAACACTTGATTTAGCTAGTAGCAGCTATAGCAGTACAAGACTTCATTAAAACGGAAGTATTTACCATTTTATTGTGAAAGGATCGTATCATAATAAACGTCAGAATTCTAATTCATACAGCAAAAATGAGCTCAGTTCTGTTCCCACGGACTTCACGTGCATCCTTCTTTCTAAGAAGACTGGCTACTTGTTACAAGTTTCCTGTAAGAAATCTCGGATTAATTATTTCTTTATATTATAAAAGTAAAAATTTTTTCTTACAAGAAAAAATACAGTTTTGTCAGTATGGGTCACTTAATTAAATAACAGTTATTTAACTATTTCAAATATCAATCTACATTGATTTGAAGCCATTTAATATTTTATATAAAATATTTATTAATTTTATAATTAAGCAATCGTGTTTGTTTTATAAAGTAAGGGAAGTTTTATGTGGGCCGTGACCAGGGTGTCTAGCGATAAGGGAAGCCAGGAAAAAGTCAGGGAGATTTCTATAAATTTATAATAAAGTTAAAAGTAACAATTGACATAATAAATTATGATGATCGTTTTGTTGTTTACAATAAAAATAATTAAAGCAATATAACATTGTAAATGAATCTACTATAATATTCGGAATTATTACAATAATATTATAAATAACTCTCACATTTTGTGTCGATGATAAGTTGACTCGTGATGGGGTTCATGACTCTATTTTACACTTTTAACTAATTATTTATTAAGGAAATGTTAAACTAGTAATTGATTATAATATTTAAAATTTATTAAAAGATCTGTAACGAACTAAAACATTACTCTGTAGCCAATAATCATTATATAAAAAATTATACTGTAACCAAACTGAAACTGATTCTAAATTCACTACATTTCACTAAAACTAGAAAAACTAATTAACGATGTTAACACAGCGGGGAATCTATGACAAGAGAGAGATTCAAAAGTTTTGCAGAGTTATTAGAGTCTTGATAATAATGTTCCTCTAGGAGGATAGACTTTGTCTTCTCGCCAAGCTTAAAATTTTTAAAATTGCTTCTTACGACAATTGTCAATTGCATCAGAGCACTTTTGAAAAAATGGAGACCAAATAACTGGTGCATATCAGAATTTTGATGCAACAAATGCTTGAAAGAGAACCGTTATAGTTGATATCCTTTTAAATTGTTTAAATGATATAAATAAAAAGCCAAAAGTTTTACTAGCACTATTAACCATATCTTAAACATGATCTTTAAATGACAAACTAGGTGAAAAAGAAACACACAAATCCTTGATCCCATTAACCCTCTCAATATAGTTTCCCTCAATAGAATACTGATAAGAGATCATAGTTTTCCCCTTCACAAATTTCATAACTTTACATTCATCAATATTTAAATTTAATTTATTATTTTTACACCAATCATTAAAATTATTTAAATTATCTTGAAGTGGTTGACACGAAATGTCATCAGTAATTGAAAGATAAAGTTTTACATCATCTGAATAAAGTTGGTAATAACAAATTAAAGAGAGAGTTAAGTCGTTCATGTAGACGGTATAAAGTTAAGGTCCAAGATTAGATCCCTGAGGATCACCTGATGAAGGGAAAAAGTGTTTAGATTCAAATCCATTATATTGAATAAAATTAGGTCGATTAGATAAATAAAATTATATGTATTAATTTATCGGGCAGTCCAAGAGTTAGGAGTTTATTTATCAAAAACTGATGATCAATCGTATCAAATGCTTTACTAAGATCTGAGTAGATCACATCAACTTGAGGATAGGTACTCATTTAGTAGATTATAAATTTGTTGAGTGAAAACTAATAATTTAGTAATTGAGGCCTTGGATCGAATAACTCGCCCGACGCTCGGAGGAACGCGCAACTGCCAGTCAGTGAGCAGTGAGCGCCTCTGGGCCATTCACTGCTACCCGACTGGCATATAAGCGCGTGCCTCCGAGCGTCGGCGAGTTATTCGATCCAAGGCCTCAATTGTTGATCTTTTAGGGATGAAACCATGCTAATAAATAGAAATTCTACTTGATAACTTGCCGAATATAATCTCATAAATGCACATTTCAAAGATCTTGGAGAAATTATTTATAATATAAATAGGACGGTAGTTTGTCACTTTAGACTTATCTCCCTGCTTGAAAACAGGTCACACTCTTGTTCTCTTCCAAACACTTGGGAAAAAACCAGGTGATAAAGACTAATTGATTAAAAGTGTGAGAGGTTTAATCAAGACTTTTGAAAGTTTTACTAATGCAAATGCAGGAATAAGATCATGAACAGAAGTTTTCTTTTTAGATGATAACCTAGCAATAGTCCTCTTTTCATCATTTTCAAAAATCCTTAAACTATCCCCAAGTAGCTGGGGTTGATTATAATTCGAAGGAATATCTTGTACAGAAGCATTCTTGTTATAAACACTGTCAAAGAAACTCTGAAAATGAATTTACAATAATATTTGGAGACCTATATTCAAAAACCCTGAATTTCATTATTCCAGGTATTCTAGACTAACGCGTCTTATTCGATGCATTTGATTCCAAAAAACTGACGGTAACAAGGAAATACTATCAACAACATTTTATTCTTAAGATCTATTCGAGATATGGCAAGATTGCGACCCTCTTAACCATAAGAATTCCTTAATATGGATCACCAACATTTAATTTGGACTTCTACGAAGTGTAGAATAATTACCAAAACCAAAACAAAACACTGTAACCAATTTGCTTTAATAAAAGACCAATTAATATTACCAAAATTCAAATACTAGAAAAATGTTAAGGTCAAAATACTTAAAAATATAATCTAATTGTTATTCTTACTATGTGTATGTAAATACCTAGAATTTTCTTTTCCTTAAAATATTTCTTTCTTTTCAGGTTTACAATGTGATGATGCATCTACCTTGAGGATAAGCAGTGAAACTAAGGAAGGGTAGCAAGTTAAATATGCCACACCAATTTGGTTTACCCATTATGGCACACGGCATACAGTCCCCGCCTTCGCCAACAGCTGTTATGTCGGTATATCCTCGCTTCAGTGCTGGCGTCTACCGTCCTGACCATCAGGAGCAAAGATTAACACGAGAAGCTATGGAACGTTATTTGCGTGATAGAAGTGACATGGTAATCGTAATATTACACGCTAAAGTTGCTCAGAAATCGTACGGTAATGAGAAACGATTCTTCTGTCCCCCACCTTGTATTTATCTATTTGGAGACGGTTGGAGAATGAGGCAGGAGCAAATGCTTCGAGATGGGGAATCCGAACAGTCTTCGCAATTGTGCGCCTTTATTGGAATTGGAAATTCCGATCAGGATATGCAGCAACTTGATCTCAACAACGGCAAACAATATTGTGCTGCTAAGACATTATACATATCTGACTCAGACAAGAGGAAACATTTCATGCTCTCTGTGAAAATGTTTTATGGCAGTGGACACGACATTGGGGTTTTTCACAGTAAGCGAATAAAGGTTATATCGAAACCATCGAAAAAGAAACAGTCTTTGAAGAATGCTGATCTTTGTATTGCCAGCGGAACTAAAGTAGCTCTTTTTAATCGTTTACGTTCACAAACAGTTAGCACAAGATATTTACATGTTGAAAATGGCAATTTCCACGCGAGTTCGACACAGTGGGGAGCTTTCACGATTCACCTTTTAGACGACAATGAAAGTGAATCGGAAGAATTTCAAGTTCGAGATGGGTATGTTCACTACGGTAGTACAGTGAAATTGGTATGCTCAGTGACTGGAATGGCCCTACCTCGGTTAGTTATTCGCAAGGTTGATAAACAAATGGCGAGTTTGGAGGCCGACGATCCTGTTTCGCAATTACATAAATGTGCATTCTACATGAAAGACACGGATCATATGTATTTATGTCTGTCCCAGGAGAGGATAATTCAGTTTCAAGCCACTCCTTGTCCAAAGGAAGCGAACAAAGAAATGATCAACGACGGGGCCTGCTGGACAATCATCAGTACCGACAAAGCTGAATACCAATTTTTTGAGGGAATGGGTCCCGTCAGATCGCCAGTAACTCCAGTGCCACTTGTTCACAGTTTGCATCTTAACGGTGGTGGTGACGTTGCAATGCTTGAGTTAACCGGCGACAATTTTACACCGAATCTTCGAGTGTGGTTTGGTGACGTTGAAGCTGAAACAATGTACAGGTGTCAGGAGAGTATGTTGTGCGTTGTTCCCGACATATCACTTTTCAGAGGTGAGTGGCTTTGGGTTCGTCAACCGACACAAGTTCCAGTTTCTCTAGTACGCAATGACGGCATCATTTACGCTACTGGATTGACATTCACATATACACCCGAGCCGGGACCTCGTCCGCATTGTCCACCTGCCGACGAAGTCATGAGGGCGCCACGTTCTATGCATAATCAAGCAAGTATGCCTCCAGCTATAGCTGATGTTCCCTGGAGCACACATCCATCAACACAAGGAGGACTCTGATACTTTCTTTTCATTCATAAACAGAACCAAAGCACCTTAAGCTATAGTGCGAATTTCATGCCTTCTGTGTTCGACAGCAGTAAAGACGTTTCTCTGAATAATCAAAGACTTGTAGAAACGGTGACGAACAAAACAATTCATCAGAACCGAATTTTAGTAGTTTGTATGTTTTAATGAATGTTTCAAAAATTGTTGAAACGGTGTGTAAAATATTATACATAATCTAAAGAGATATTACTAGAAAAACGAATAAAATTATTTATATTAAATACAGTAACCATAATTTTCAAGACATTTTTTTCAAAAAATAGTACATTAAGTAAATTTTTTATTAAAATAATCATGTTAATCAAAAGTTGCAGATGTTGTTTGAATTCCCCGAGATATTCTAATCAATTTACTGCTATTAAAAAAGTGGTGAATATCTTTTATTCATAGTTTATATAAAAGATTTTAATCATTAGTATGAAATATTCAAGAATTTTTAATTTTTTTAAATGTTGTTTATTATTATATAAACTTTAAAAATTTTGTTATTTTATATTTAATTTATTATCAGTTTTAACTTTAGGAGACTTAAATATTTTATTTAAAAAAATAAATTAAAGATTAAAACGCGAAACTAATTTTCTTTAAACTCATTACTCAAATTTAATATGTAATAATTAATTCACATCATTTTCATCAACACAAAGAAATTTAAGTGAAGGCAACTTCAATCTGATTCCCTTTTCATCCAGCTTTTTAAGTTGTTCTTCCAGATCATCCTCACTCGATCGTAATAAGGGAACGTAGGCATCGAAAAGCTCGTAACTTCCACTCTTCTATAACTCCATTTAATTTGGACAACGGTTCCTGTAAATTTATTTAAAAATATCATTAATCATCTGATGAAACATTATTTTGGTTCTGAGTTATATAACTTGCGTAATGGCATTGTTCTCGAGAAACGTTAGACACGTTGGAGATTATGAAAGAGGAAAAAGATGATTCTGTTCTTAGCTTTAATGGGAAGAAAATTAGACGCCTTCCGTAAACTAAATAGTGGGGTTGAATTGGCGGAAGAAATACATGGAAAATGTAAGTGTCCTCAAAGGGTAGGAGCGAGTTCCAAACTTTAGTCAATCAAAGGGAAGAATCTCACCTACACTAATCTATTTTTTAAATTTCCACTTAAATCGTAAAAATGGGAGTAGATCTCGCCTATATAAACCGAGAAACTGCAAGCGTCGCTCTCGCATTCATCAGACACGATATACTCTAGTAATAAGTAACAGAAGTCTTTTCCTCAGAAAATTACTGAGATATCAGTTCTTTACCTGGGATAGGAATTTATTATATATTTAACATTTTGCCACAACACTTGTTCACAGTAAATTATTGCTTATGTGATTATCTACCTGTGATAAGAAATTATTACACTTAATTTACATTAACACAACACAAATCGTAATGATTACTCAGGAAATTATTGCTTAAACGATTCTCCATCGGGTAATTCAATAAACTTATAATAAACAATATCTACAAAATTAAGCCCTGGCGAAGGTATCGAGGAAATTACCGAGCAATTGGTTCTCTACATCATAATCCTAAACCTTTAGGAGTAACAAAAGCTAATCATAAGTTTTTTGAATATTCTTATGAGCCATGTTCATTAGCAATAGGCTATATCGATTTGGCAAATATTTAACTTGGTCCTCCAAAAGGATTATTTACCACAAACAATAATTACTTCTCTTGAATTAATTATTTAGTTAAAGTTTAAAAGGATGAAATAGATTTCTCCCAGTTGAATAAATGGAGTTTTTATCAATTTTTAAAACTATAGAAATTTATAATACTGTGAGCGAGACTGAGTTCTCGCGAGTTGTTCAATTCTTCAAATTTTTGGAGACAACAAACCTCTCGAGTCTTTTAATGCATCAGTCACGCCTCCAGATCAATTTCAGGAATGTGTGAAGCAAATCTATCCCCCAAAAGAAAGACAATAATATTCAACAGCTTTGGTCCATTCAAATTATACAACACTGAACACTGGCACCCGCATACTAGAAATTAAACGACTGGTGAATCAAACACAGATCATCTGTTGAATGACTCGCAAGAACTCACTGTATCACAAATAAATCAATTACCTGGAAATTCATACTTACGAAGAATATTTATTCATAAACAGAATAGTTAATTTAGGGACTAGGGAGGAAAATTTTTCTATGGAACACTTTTTATATAAATCATACATAATACAATCTACCAAACTTAAATATTTCAGGAGTTATAAATCATCCATTTATAATTGGATGGGATAATTCGCGAAACAACGTTTCCAAAGCGACAACACTGGACAACACGTAATGAAGCAGGATAGCATGACATCGGGAAAAACTACATTTTGAAAGAAAATTATATACATCAGGTAGGTAATGGCAATTAACTTTGAAAGTTAAACAAGAAAATAAATAAGTAATATATATATATATATAATACCGTCGGAAATTATCGGTACGACCTTACGCGCATGGACCGAAACCATACCAATCTTTAAATCACGATTTTTCTGTAAAATCAAATGTAAGAAAATTAACAAATATACCATTCGAAAGCTTATAATATTCAACGTTAAATTATCTACATTCGAAAATTTTTATAAATTACACAAAGATTCTAGTAATTGACAAATTTAAAAAAAACTAAACAATGAAAATTTTTTTGATAATTTTTTAATCTTCGTCATATTTTTTAAAAATTTCAGATAAAATTTAAAACTTATATAGCTGTCATCGTTTAAGTCTCCTCTTTAATTTAAGACCAAAGAAGTTAAAAAATCTTATTCAATTCGCAAGATATATCCTGAACCGCATATAACATTAGCTTTAAAGCAAGAACAGCGTTTAGTACAACACTGATCTGTTGTTGTTTTGCAGTTATATTTTTTGGAATTCCGTTCTACCTGAAGTTGATTGAGCTTTTCGAAGAGAAAAAATTTATCTTTTTGAACGTCTTCAATATTAAATGCAGTTGTTCCTAATTTTTAGAGATCAGTTCTACAAAACCAGCCATTAATTATTGCATCTTTAGTCCCTGCTTGGTAAACTTTATTTTTAAAATCTGTAATAACCCCAAAAATGTTACTAAAATCAAAAGGCCCTCGATCGACAGTTGTATATCGCCAAGAGACAGTGATAACTTATGAAGTATTACGTTTTAAAATAATATTACACTCTGCACCAATTCGAAGAATTTCGTATATTTTTGAAAAATGATAAAAAGCAGCATTTTATTCACTTTCATTATTTTAAATTGAATATCACTTTTTCAATTTGTTTTCGATTCCACAACGCTCTATTTCCTACTCTTTTGTTCCAATAATTTGTCGCACTGAATACATTTTACCTAACTGATATCCATTATAAACATTCTATTTAAAAATCTAACGTTTGTTAGAATGTTTCTGCTTCGACTACTATTTACCGATTGCGAATTAAAATTATCAATTTCTACCAAATTAATATCAATAGGTGTCTTATACTATAAGTTTTTGATGAACACGAAAACAATACACTTATTATTTGAATTAAATGATTGCTTTCAATCAAGTTTAACTTTTCGGCGATTGAAACATATAATTAAATAATACTAGAACGTATTACAAATTAATTTATATTAATTTTAATAATTATAAAATATTTACTTGACCTCGCCATCTTCAAAAGAATCTTCTAGAACTTCCGTTTCTGCTTCAATTAGTCCAGGATTATAGTCTGGCTTTATTTATTTTTTTTGGATTTATGCCCATTAGCATTGAAAACGAAGCAAGATGCAAATAGAAATTTTAATGCATCTATAAAATAACAGTCTTTCGCAATCACTTCCTCCTTCAGACAGAGTATCTTCCTCCGTCAGGTATGTACTTTCGTTATCTGAAAATAATGAAAAATAATAAATATAACTAAATATGGGAAACAAATTAAAAAATTGTTAATTAAAAAAATCTTACCCAAACGTAAAACCCAACCAAATACATTTTCAGGAATATTCAAATCTTCAACTGATTTCATTTTCTGTAAAAATATACAAAATAAAATCGTTCAATACATAAAGTTGACCAAGCATCGATAATACTTTTCACCGTATGTCAAATTATTTAAAAATTGCCTTTGATAGTTAACAGTAAATCTTTATCTTATTTTAGGGCTAATTTTCCTCTATTACTTCTGGATATTTATCTATTAATTGCTTGGTAGCTATTCTACAAGCAAAAAGTGAAATATCCTTTTTTATTAATCTTAATTTATCAACGGCTTTATTTACAATGTATGTGGTGAGACGAGATGACTTAATCAACTCTCCTAATACTTTAATTTTCTATTTGCTTAAATATAGTTCCAATCAATTACAAAATTCATCCAATCATTTTCGGTAATATTGCCTCTTTTTAAGTACCTGGGTTTAATGGGTCCACATTTATAAGAATAAAATTTAAAACAGAGAGAAAACATTCTCAAAGCAGCAATTCACTGTCAACTGAAAAGATATTTACTCATCTTATAAAGTCAAACTAGTAAATACGTGAGAGAAGTCAATGAACTAAAACGTAAACACAGTCTTACATGATGAGGTACAAGTTATATTGATTTTAATAATTTTAATAAAATTTATTCGATGTCGGTAGAACTACAGAATTATCGTTCACTTTTCGTCCCTTGGGTGATATAAACCATCCCATTTCAAATGTGATCTGAAAAGCATACAGTTTCGCGGGTGTGCTGAAAAACATACATATTCAGAGACGTGCAATTTTTTACTTTTTTTTTTTGGTTGACAATTATAATATAATATGAACTGTATGTTTCTCAGATCACAGATGAAACAGGATGGTTTATCACTCAAGCGACGATTTGACAACTTAAATATTTTTAGTTAAAAGGCAAAGAAACTTTGGGGATTTGACTATAAATATTGACTTTATTTTTATTGTTATTATTCTCGTTAGAAAATTTTAACTTGTTCATTCTAATGTTAATATATGTTTTTCAATAAAATCTAAAGAATAATATTGGTTTTTAGAATTGTTTTAGAATTATTTTAAAAAACTGAAAGTTGGTAAAAGACAATGTTACTTAAATGTTAAATATGAAATAAAAGCACTTTGACATAGAAGGGATGCGGATCACAAAGAAAATCTTTAACTTGTCAAATAAGAGGTACAAGTGCATACAATATGTATACAGAATATTTTAAAAATATTTTCTACTGTTTTCTGCTTTATACTTTACTAAAATGCGAATTCGTCTAATTATATCTAAAGGTGTAATTATTGTTATTAATACAGAATTACTGTTGTGCATAATAAAGGTAACCATGTTCATTGTCCATACAATACGAACTTTAATTGTGAGTAAATTCCCAGGGTACATTCCCCAACATTCCTTCGTAACAATAGATCTTTTCAGGAAGGTTCTTCTCTTTGGATGATGTTATCACATTTCCTTTAAAAAGTCTTTTCTGTTTAATTGCATTTACCGAAAGCATATTTTATTATTTTACTGTTATTAGTTCGATATAGATTATACAAATAAGAAATCATGTTCTTCACCTGTAACATATTTAATGCAAAAAATCGTGTCTAATAAAAATTACCAAATACCTAAAAGAGTTGAAAAATCAAATATTATTTCTTTCTCGTCGATCAAGGGGTCTAAAAAAATCCAGGAGATCTATTCCTTACGTCTTGGACATTGCTCTTTCAGAATCTGCACTCAAAATTGAAAAAAAAAAATCAAAAAGTTACGGCCATATATTTTTAAAAAATGTGGTTTTTTGCAATTTAAACGTAAATGACAGGGAATTCATCAAACAATGTAAAATAATAAAATGTATTAAAATTTATTAAAATAATTTTTCAGTGTAGATTAGTCCGACTATTAGATTAGTCTTTCTCGTAACTTTCTACGAGATAAGCATTGTCAGTTCCATTAAAAATATATTTTTTGTCATTTTCATTTGATATATATGCAGTTATTGAATATTTCATTTTAGTAAATTTAGTAACATAGAAAATAATTAATTTCGTTAAATACATAAATTTTTTTACAATATATATGAGTTTAAATAGGTTTTACCTTATTTAAATAGTTAAAAATAATTAATTCAAAAACTGATAACAAGTAAAAGCTTATTAACAATTTTTTGTGATCTTTTATATGGAGAATTCTATTTTTGATTGTCGCTGATGATAATTTTCAAATTATACCATTTTACCACAGCAATAATAAATCTGATTATAATTTTAAGCGAAAATGGAATGTATAAACAAAATACTAATTAATATTAAATATTGAACCTTCTTTAGTGGTCGTAACGATTCTGCTTTAGATAAACTTTAGAAATACGAGTAAATTCTACAAACAAAAGCTAATAATATCATAAACATTATTTAATTACGCTAAAACTTATATAACACTGTCCTGCTACTAATTTATTTTATCCTTATTGTACGTTGTTTGTTCATGTTTGTAAGCATTAATGATATGTACGAAGTCAAAAGATCATCCATTTTGTAACCTAGTGAAGTTTCACACAATAGTTTTGTTCCACGCACTAAATTTCCTATTGTCATGTGGAAATATGTGTTTCCCGAAGACCAGTTGGAGATTCTAGTAAATGGATGTGTTATTAGGATATCCTGAAAATAAAAATTAAATCTTTATTTTGGATTTGAACCTTTAAAACAAATTTTAAATATGTTAAAATTAAATCATTAAAGCAATTAAGTAGCTATTCTACACAATTACATTTTTAAAAAAATCCCTCAACACATTGTAAAATAAGCGGCATTACAACATAAACGAAGGAATCAACAAAAATTTAGGTTTGATGCAAAATTAAATTCTCTATCGATCTCTCGAACCCGATTTTAAAAATTTTTAAAATTTCGTTTTTAAACATATTTTTAATAACAATAAGTATTAATAATAAAATCGTAAAATATATTTTTTAGCTTCATTGATTAAGAAAATTAATCAAAAAACACTAAAGTAATGTTTGAGTATTTCTGATGTATATGAAGGAACAAATTCAGAAAGTATTATTAATATTGCTAAAATCATCGAAAATTCTTCAGATCACTTCCCGTGGAATTGCTCATTAGGAAAATTTCAGTGCTGTGTGGGGTTTCTGTAAGAATAGTTTGGGCGAAATCAAATCGAACTCACCTTTGATTGAGGATGAATAAGGCTAACTCCATGTTTATTGATAGCAATAAGCAGTAGTTCTGGATATTGTGATTCTGTACTTTGCTTTACTTCAAAGAAAGCTGATCCAAAAGTTGGCCATCTATATACAATTTTCAGGAATGTTATTTTAGCATCTTCTGGACTCATACCTGCAACAAAATTAATCACATTTTTTAAATATTTTAAATAAAAATTAAATTAAATTCAGATTTCATTGTATATTTTTATAAGGTATTTCAATTTTCTTCTCAACTCAATTCAACTCCACTTTACTCACAACATTATTTTGTAAATACCAACATTGCGGCTGCTTAAAAAACATCCAAGGATTATGGAAAGATTCGAATAAATTACATAAAGGGTTAAATTTATAACCTTTGTTATAAATTTTAAAGCAAGAAATATTGAATGTTCATAAATTATTTTGAATTAGTAGAATCTTTAAATATTTTTCAACCCATTTAAAAATTTGAGGGTGGTTTACAAGAGGTTGATCATACCTATAGTCAACATCATAGCAAATACTGCGATTTATATTTTTAGGGGTTGTCTTTTGAAATAAGGGCAGTTTTAGAGGATAGAAAGGGTAGATAATTTTTGTTTCACGCTTACGACCTAATGTCCTCTTTATTTAAATAAAATATTTATAAAAATACATATATATGCATATGATGCAGAAACGTGTGTCTAGATCAATTTTGACACGATTGGCCATGGCGTTTAACGCTTTGTTATTACAATGCACCCTTCATTTGTTATTTGTTATTGAATATGTAAACTCACCTGCGTCTTGGTTGTAAGCAGCAACTATTGACCTTTTCCATTCATTAGCATTTTGGACTTTTATTAAATCACCAGGTGTCAATTCTCGCAACATTTGACTGAAATATAAACTTTTTTTAATTAAAATTTCTCTGTAACTAATGAACAATTAAGAAAAAGATTCATTGACATGTATCAATGCTAAAAGTCTTAAAAATTATTTACAATATTAGTAAATTCATTGACGTTTTATTAACAAAGTCAGATAAACTAATATATAAAACTGATAGGTAATAAATAGTTGTGTGCAGCAAAGATGAAAATTAAAAGAAAAACATTAATTTAAAAAATACTCACGGAATAGCCTGTAACTCTTGCTTACTTTCTCCATATCGGACTCTATAAACCAAAGCCGCCAATCTAGACGCTTCTTCTTTAGTGCACTTGTGGTATCCTAAATATAATTTTATTAAATTATTGTCAAGTGTCTTTAAAAAGTTATACTAGATATACACGACATACTCTTTTAAACAAAATGTCGAATTGGTTGATTTTATTTTCCGGTCTTAATTATGTGAAAATGAAAATAAAAATTCTTACCTCTGAGTAATTTTGGAAGCTCTTGATGAAAGTGGAATATTAAGTCAGCATTTCTGTCTTTGCCGGGAACAGTATTTGTCCAAAGTTTTTTCATAAAAAATACTTGATATGTGAATTGTGGTGATGTACCTAAGTAAACAAAATTTTCAATTATTGTTATTAAAAATTATGTGAAATAATAATATTTAAAAAACAAACAATATTTTACCATCTCTAGATGGGCGGGCTTTTCTTATCCAATCAGTCAAGTGTCGGACGAAGTCAAAGAAGAAATCGCCTTCAGGAACAGAGATTACTTTGTCAGCGATTTTGACGAATAGACTGAAACCTTCAGATGTTCGAAGACTTAATCTTTGAGCGATGTTCTGGCAAAAATCTTTAGCTCTTGTTGATGAATCGACTTCAAATGCCTAATACAAAAAATGCATTGTTTTATTTATTTTATTTTTTATTAATAAATTATTTTTGAAAAATTATTCATCAAATTCGTCATATTCTGCTAGGATCGGCGCTCTAGTGACAATCTAGTAACTTTTAGCTATACTTTTGTCCTTCGTAGTAAATAGTAGGTTTTAGTTGGTTTTAGTAGATGAGTGCGAAGCCTGAATCTTGTATTCTTTATCATTTCAAAGTAAACCTAATTTTTTAATCTTCAATATATTAATAAAGAAACTTACCTCATCTGTATCATCAGGAAAATAAACTTTGTGGAAAATTTGGGTCGTTTTATGTTGAATAGCTTCAACTTCCACTTGATGAGGGGGATATTTTCTTTGTCCGTTACGCAATGTTTTCTGCAATCTTTGTAATGAATCTTGTGAAATAGGATGTCTTCTTGTTCTTAAGAATAATGTTAACTCCTGAAAAAGTATATAATATGTTAATTAAGATAGCACAATATATTATAAAAAAATATCATTTTACTCTGTACTTTCATAGGAAAAAGAACTCGTAAATTTCCAATTTCTTTATTCCTACTTAATAATTTTGTAATGTTTCGGGTACTAAATAACTGTTCCAAATAGTTTCTTAATTTTTTTTAGTTTGCAAGATATTTGCAATTAAAATTGGAAATTTAGAAAAATAAATTTTTTAAAAAGTCTTTACCTGGAAAGACATAGGTATTCTCTTGTAAAAAAAGAGATTTATACAAAATTATTTTAAAAATTCAAGTTTTTAGTAATAAAAATGTCCTTAGTATGATTGTTTTATATTCAAAATATTTAATCCATCAGTTTATAAAAATGATTGTTAAAAACCTTTAATAGACTTTGGCTGCAAGTGAACAATCCTGTAGCTAGCCACATTAATTCCCATCCACGTTCTTCACTCATTCGATTTCGATTATTTGTCAATTGCTTCATAATCTGACAGTATATTTCGTCACGTAGTATTTCATTTTTTAAAGGTCCATCAAAAATTTGGTCAGTGTACTCATTACCAATCCTGGGCCTTTTGGTTGGCAAATCTCCCATGTATTTCAAAACAGCAGTAAAAGCATAACATGCCTCTTCTGACAGTTCTTCTTTGGATATTAATTTTTTTAACAACGGTTGTTTTATTTGTTCCCTCGAATGTCTCCATAATTCATCAGTGTAACCTCGCCTTGCAGTTGTTAAAGTTAATGCCTTTGAAATAGATTTTTTTGGCGGAGTTCTATGTAAGTTAATAAATAATGTTTTATTTATTTATAGTTGGTTAAAAATATATATTAAACGATCACTCCTGACTCGAAGTGATCGTTTAGATTAATTTAAATTTTACATAAATACTAACCTGAAGTGATCAATTGCATATTCGACTAAAGTGTGAGGCTTATCACGAGATTCTACACCATTGATCTGTTGAGGGTAGAGTCTGCGTCCATTCTCTGAATTTTCAATATTAAAAAGGGCCTGTCAAACAAAATTAGACGTTCGAATTTAAAAATGATATTGAAAGTGAAACAAATCTAAAAATTAGTGAAAAGCTAAAGTGAGATAAATGGAATCATTACCAAAATATCATTCGGTGGCTTTGTTAGAGATGGTAAAACATAAACTGTTTCTGCTGGAAAGTCTCCTTTCTCTCCAGTTCTGTCACACAAACCAATGCACCATCCAGAATTGAGTACAGTTTCCCCTGTGTTTTCATCTTCCAGAGTAATTAAATCTCCTTTTTGGAAATTTAAGAAAGACGACCCTTCACCAGGCGCCTTGTAATCTTGTAATGCAATAACAAATTTACTACGTTTCTTCAATCCTTCCAAAAAGTATACCACTAAGTCACGAATATCCTCAGCGTTAGGACTTTGAAACATAAATTCCTCTCCTCGCACAGTCGACAAACTAAAGGTTTGTGTAAATATTTTGTTGGTTCTAAAACAATAACAATAAATATCGTTAATAAAATTTAACAAAATTGAATAGTATAGGAAAAAGGCAGGAAAATAAAAAATATGGAATGGAAGTTTAATTTTTCGATAGCTACCGTAAGTGAGGCTAAATTCGCTCATGTAGGGTAAATTCGCTCAACCGATGTCTATTTTTTAAAATTCGATTAACATACTTTTTAGACAGAAATATTTAAGATTTACAATTGTTTTGGTTAATATAAATGCTAAACTTTAATTTAAAATTTATTTGCAGCAAATTCATTGGTAACTTTCAGTAGAAATTATATTTAAAACACAAGTGAATAATTTTCATATTGAACAAGTAGTATGAAAAAGTAGGGAATAAAGCTTTACTTCAAAATTTTTAAGTTGAATACTTCTGAACATTACATTTCCTGTATCTCCAACATGATTTTCATAAAGCACAAAAATTTAAGCAATAAACAGATTCTGCAAAAAATCAATTTAAAAAAAAAAATTCAAATTTGTTGTGTAAATTCGCTCAGGAAATAAGTCTACAAAAAAGATGTTTGGGCCTGGATATTTTAAGTATGTTAATTACTTTAATTTATAATTCGATTTTTTTAAATAATAGTACTCTTATAACTGAAAATTAAACGATTTAAAACGGTTTAAGCACTAAACTGTCAAACTTAACCTTGTTTTTTATGGTTATGAGTACGTTTGATTGAATGATTGAATCTAATTACTTATTGATAAAACAATATTAAATATTTATTCCAATAACTTTGTATATTGTTCTTAATTTTTTTCTTTATTGATTCTAAAGAATATTTAGTTTCATTTTTGCAGATTATAATATATTTTGCCAGAATAATAATGGTGAGCGAATTTACCCATCATTTAAAGGTAAAGTCGCTCACAAAAAACGGCTTATAAATAATTTTCTGCAACATATTTTAATTTCTTTATGCAGTAATAGGAAACATAAAGGATTAAAGATTATATATTTTCAGTGCCAATGTTTATTTTCATCGTTTCCCGAAGTTATTTAAAAAAGAATTGAAAAATTGAGCGAATTTAGCCTCACTTACGGTACTTTTTGCTATTTTTTTAAAATGAATTATCGAGTGCCAAGTCTGAAAAAGGGGAAAAAGTGAAAAAATTGAAAAAAGGGGCTAAGAAATTTGAAGCTTTCATTAAAATATGTTCAGTCAACTTTTAAGAAAGTTTGGTTGCTGTGTAGACTATGAAACCAAAAAAACGTACTTTTTGGACTAAATGGTGTAAAAGTTGATAATTTAAAAGTTTTAAGAGTATAATTATATTATTATTTGAAAAATATTTACTTTTGACTAGAGACGCTGGTTATTTCAGGAAACGATAGTTCCAAAAGAACCTGTTCTTGATCGTCAACGACATAGACTCCAGTCCAATTAACAGCAATGATCACATCATTCTTAGGTAAATTTGGACCTGAATTTCTGTACGCTTCATAAAAACGAGAAAATAGTAAAGGCCACTTAAATTTTGCATATCCTACTATATCTTCCTTAACTCGTAAAGCAGGTACTTTTTCTTTTAAATAATAACTCTGAAAATAAAGACACGCTTTCATAAGAAAAAGCACATTGTTTCAATCGACTACCAAAAGAGAGAAATACTCACTTTTTTATAACCTTGTAATACAAGATGTCCCCATCTATCAATAGCTTTCTCAATGCCGGTTAGACAGTAGTCTGGAATGTAGTTTGGTAAGAGTGTAAATAGTCTATCTACATTCATGTCCGTATGATACTCTATGTAGTATTGTTGAGCTGCAATCATTGCCAAGTCTTCTTCCTTGTCGCATCTGTACTCCCCAAACTTAACTCCCCTCACTACTTGTTGATAAATCAAATTCGTAGCAACTTGATCCTCCGTTGGTTCATGCCAGGGTGCGAATATTTCTTTTCGAAAAAACAGTCTCCAAGGTGCATTTCTCTCTTGAGCTCCTTGTTCTTTGGCATATTGTTCACATTGCGATATAGCGTCCATCACATGGTCACCTCCGCTCCCCAAAGATGACACCTTATCAAAAAGAGCAATATAGAGGGAAAATCCAAATTGATCCCGCAATGAAATCTTATCCGAAAGTTGATTGCACAATTCCCTGGCAGTGGTCGCCGAATCGGCTAATAATGTTTTTGTGTTGCCATCCATAAATGTTATGGGGAGCATAATTGGCTTCTTGGATTTTGTAGCTTGCAGTTCCAACCAACTGGGAGGTTGATTTCGAGTTCCGTTATTGAATGTTCTTTTTAGTCTATCGTCACAATAAGGCGCGTAGCCAGGCGGACCCTCTCTTATAAATGCTCGAAGGTAGTTGACAAACTTTTCCGAAGGTGCGAAGCAACCTACGCATAGAGAAAGTAGAATCCAACCACGTGCATGTGAAGATTTTGAAGGATTGTTTGACAACTGTTTGCAGATTTGACAATAGATTTCGTCTCTCAGTTCGGCTCGTAGAATTCCGTGACCTATTATAAAGTGCAGCTTCTCAAGGTTCGACGTCGGTCTAGCTTCAAGCCACGATTGATAACTGTCTGCTGTGTATTCATCTTCCTGTAATTTTCTTCGCACATCTTCTCCTAATTTATTTTTACGCTTAAGAGTTAGTGAAACAAGTTTGTGCCTGATGGATCGTGGCTTCTGCTTCATGAAAGCATCCTGAAAATAAGTATTTATTTATAGAATATTAAATTTATTATGAATTTTGTTACTATTACAAGCATCACAGTACCTTTTATCCTCAAAAAAGGTGAAAAGAAAAAATTTTTTTCTAAAGAAGGGGACGAAAAAGGGACCAAAAAATACGAAAAAAAAATTAACAATGTATTAATACTCAAATTTCTTAGTTTTGGATTTTTTATAGAAAATAACATTTATTCACGAATTTCTTTAATTGTAAAATTATTCGAAAACATCAACAACTTCTTTTTTAAATAAATATTTAATCATTACTATGTTTCCATAGGAATTAAGATTTTCAAACCTTTTTTAAATTCAACAACTTATAAGAATGTTTTATAATATTTGAAAATGACAGAGTGACAAGATCATTATTTTGTACTATAAAAATATTTTTACTCTAACTTCTTCAAAATTATTTTCATCATTTCAATTCAACTATTATTTTCTACAATTTTTAACTAAACAAAATTTTTCAAAAAGTCAGAATTCGCACGCGATAAATAATTTTAAAGAAGTAGTAAAAAGTAGCTTTCAAACTAAAAGTTTTAGACACTTCACTGACAAAAATTCCATTCTATATTTAGATTTAAATATTTATAAAAATAATTGAATACTTCCAAAAAATTTAAAAAAAAACATTTTTTAATACCTAATTGGTTCTTTCGAGGAATTGAAATTAAATTTTTAAGAATAATTGCATTTTTTGAGCAATTTCTGTAAAATAGTATTAAAAATAATTGAAATCCTGTGATGAATTTATGAAAATTATGAAATTTATGATTTATGAAAATAATTAAAAAGCTGCTAAGAATTTTATTAAAATTTTCAAAAATTATTGAATTCTTGTGATGAATATTTTTATTTATGAAGATAATTGAAATATTGATGAGAATTTTTAAAAATTTTTAAACGAAATTGAATTTTTGAGAAGAATTTTATTACTATTGAAAATAATTGAATTTCTGCAATAAATAATTTGTAACTTCTTCAAAATTCATTTTTTTTTTAGAAATTTCAACTAAAATTCTTCTATAAATCCATCATTTTTTATAATTAATTAAATATATATATTGACAAATTTAACTAATTTCAGAAGAATTTGAATTATTAAAATTTTTCAAAAAAAATTCTAAGAATTTAATTATTTCCAGTAAGTGTAAAAATCCCTGACTTTTCCCTGATCAATTCTATACTTTCCCTATTTTCTTCAAGAAGTAATGTTGAAAATATGCTTATTTGTTTAAAAAAAAGTCAATATTTTTAAATAGTTTTGTAAAGTTATTCTCAAAAATTGATATTTTTGTTTTTCTAGAAAAAACTATTAGACTTAGTATTTTAATTATTTGATGTGACAAATCATCAAAACAGGTAAAAAAGGTGACGAAAGGGAAGAAGGGAACTATTTGTGATGCCTGCTATTAGAAAATCTAGGAAACCCGAAAGTATATATTAACAAATTTTTAAAAAAATAATTCTCAAAATGAATAATAAACAGTTTATATTACCGGGTCCATGCCTATTAACTGTGCTTCTTGAAATTCTTTACTCCTTATAAAATTTCGACCTAAAGTAGCAGTTACTTTAGACATAACAGAAGTATTATCCCTGTCCATAGTATGATATCTAGGTTCGGGTAAATCACCAGTAAATCTTAAAATTGTTATCCATAATGCTTGCGCCGCCTGTAATGAAAAAGAAAAAAAGAAAAAAAGAAAAAAGAAAAAGTTGATTTTATTTCTTTAGTACTAATTTTTGTATCTTTGAATAATGATGTTAATATTAATATTCATACCAGTTGATCTCCTTGGGTATGTAACGGAAGAAGAGGATGCTTTAAAGGCTTTCTCGAATACTGATGATTAATATTTCCCTGAAAGTATGTTGCAGCAAATTTCTGAAATTTATATTCAGACAGGTCTTCTTCATCTTCGGATGCAGTTTGAAGGGGACTGATAATTTCCTGTTGATCTATTTTTGGTGCTGGAAGATCCTGTAAAATCATTTAATTTTCAAAGTTTAGTCTTCACTCATCATCATCATCATCATCATCAAAAAATGAGATTTTTATATAAATTTTTAATAGTATTTTTAAACTCTTTATTAACTAACATTGAAAACTGAAGTTTCCCTTCCGGGAGTAGGAGCTTCACTGCTTGAGTCAGGTAAGAAATCGAACATAGCTTCCACTAATTTACTGTCGTCAACAGGTTCGTCCTGCTTTTTAGCTGCATCATTAATCAAATTCTTTTTAATTTCCATTCTTCGTCTGTCTTCTATTTCCATTTCGATTTCCTTTCTTTCCAGTTCTTGTAGTCTTTCCTAAAACACAATATATTTAATAAAGTTGAACACTGTATGGGATTATTATTTTGAATCGAAAAATTGTACCCTAAAGTGTTGTTCTGCTATTTCTTTGGCTCTTTTATTTCCTTGATCCTTCAATTCTCTTTCCTCCTTTTTCCGCAGTCTCAGAGCTTCCACATGAAGACGATATTCGTACATAATTTTTTTATATCTTCTCTGGGCAATCAATCGTCGCACGTGGGCTTGAATTTTAACAATTGCCCACATTTTCTTTCTGTACATCCTCCGAACTAGATGTCCTCTTGCTCGGGCTTGTAGGGCAACAATATGACCTCGAAGGTGTCTGAATCTGTGGGAAAGAACTCGCGATCTTATTAGAGCCTGAAGACGCATGTAACCAATGCGCATAAGTTTAAATCTCTGCGATTGAGCGTAACCTCTCCACAATTTTTGGATGATTATGGCTGCTGATCGCATACGTAGAAACCTTCTTCTGTAAACCCAACCTCGAATATTGCGCTGAAGAATTAATATTTTTCGAGTAAGAACTCGATCGCGTTCTTGTTCTAGAAAAAGGTCGTGAGCATCTTTTAAAAATACTTTGGTATGTCCCAGCTGATAATCAGATCTGCCTAGCACAGCATGACAAATTTTATACGTTGCAACACGGCATTCAGTCTGGAAAAATTAATTAAGAGCTTGAGAATTCAAAAATCTTCAGGGTTGCCACAAAAAATTAATTTTGTTTCTTCCTGATTTCCAGACAAAATTTTCACTTTTTCCCTATAGAATATTCTGATTCACTCTCAAAATTATTAGAAACTAAAAAAAATCTTCTATATTTCTATTACATTTATTTACGAATTTTTTTAATTGTAGAATTATTTGAAAACATCGATAACTTCTGTTTTAAATAAAATATTATTACATATTATTCCATAAGAATTAAGATTTTTAAAAAATTTCAAATTTAAACCTTTTTGAAATTCAACGAAATTCTACGAAAAGTTTTATTATTCATAAAAATAATTGAATCTCTGTAAAAAATTTGTAAATAAATCATTCAAGTCCTGTGAAATTTTTAATATTTATGAAAATAATTAAATGTTTGCTTAGAATTTTATCAACATTTTTTTAAATAATTGAATTATTTTGAAAAATATTATTAAAATAGTAGATATATTGAAAATCATTGAATTGAGGAAAATTTTTTAAAATAATTGAATTTCTAAAAGACTTATTATTTATGAATATAATTGAATCCCTGTAAAAAATTTTATTTATGAAAATAATTGAATTATTGCAAAGAATTTTATAACAAAATTAAATTTTTTGAATTTAAATTTAAATTTTGCCAACAATTTTATTACTTTTGAAAAAAATGAAAATTTTTACAAGAATGTTTAAAAATTTTTTATCATAATTGAATTTTTATGATTTAATTAATAATTTATTTATTTATTTATTATAATGAGAATTTTATTATTTTTGAAAATAATTGAATTTATGCGATCATTCGTAACTTTTCATTATTTTTAATAATTAATTAAATATTAAAAAATTTTCAGAAAAAATTCAGAAAATTTCAGAAGAATTTGAATTATTAATAATATTTTTCAAAAATCTAAGTTCTTAAAATTTTTCTATTAAATTCATTCAAGATTGGAATTTAAAAAGATTTTTAATTAAAACCTTTTGAAGGTGATTGAAAATTGTAAACGTAACTCTTTTTAAATTAAATTATTTTTAAAATATGTAAGTAAAATTATTTATTAAATAATTTACAAGTAATAATATTTTATACATAGTTCTGCAAGAATGAAATTATTTGAAAAGAAATTATTGTCAGAAATAGAAAAATTTGAAGGTTTTGTATTAGAATTCGTGGTAATTTCATAGTTTATGAGTAAAGCCAAAAAGACAGAAAAATTAATAATTTTCTTATGAATTCTAAAAATTAAATTTTTTCCAGTACTTTTAATAAAAATCCCCGACTTTTCCCTGATTTCCCTGACCTTTGGCAACCCTGATCTTTCTGAAAATTAGTTGTTTATTAAATTAAAAATACTACCTTGTGTGCTGGAGGTATTCCAGGAATTAAAAATCTATATCTTTCAACAAATTCTGGAAAAGCATGCCGAATAGGATATCCTGCTCTACGTATTCTAATAGTTTCCATCATTCCCGAATACCTCAGTTGTCGACAACAAAGTCCTCGATCGAACATCTGAAAATTAAAAATATTCGTTAATTATTGCATTTTTTAGAAATATATCGTCATTAATAACTTACCATTGGCTTTTTATATTCATTAGGTTTAATACATCTAATAAAAAATGGCTGACAGGTAGATAAGGTCTTCATTAAGGAGTCTAAAGACTTTTTGAATTGCGTAGACAATGTAGGAGCTCTTTTTCTCGTTTCAGAACCCATTTCGATGTCCTCAACAAAGCACAGTTGAAGAAACTTATTTGAAGAAATGTGAATCAGTTGTAATAAATCTGCACTAAACGTGTCTCTGTTTTTCTCTAAGAAACTTCTAGTATCGTAAAAAACTACACCAGCAAAATGATTCAAACCGAAAGATGTATTTATGTCAGACTTTGGTTTCAGATAATTTTTATGGGTCCCATGAGTCTTGTGGATTTTTGCCAACATTGTGTGGTCTGTACCCTGAGGAATAATTATTAAACTTAATCAATAAATTTTTTTAAGCTTCATCTTCAAAAGCAAAAAGTTTCTAGCATTTACTGATAATATCCGAAAGTTGTAGCTTTGTTCAAATAAATAATTTGAAAAGTACATCTAAACTAATAATTACCTTTGGAAATTTTGATTCTTCATCTATTAAAGCCATTATATTTAATTGTTTAACAGCAATTAAGTCCAAAGCATCCTGATTGTCGACAAATTCAATATGTTGCCAATTTATTCCCTCGTGATTGTATTCCTCTTGTTCCAATTTAAAGATATGTTGAACGAAAAATTGCTGTAAATTCTCATTTGCATAGTTTATGCAAAATTGTTCAAAACTATTATGATTAAAGTTCTCAAAGCCGAAAATGTCTAATACGCCTATAGCACTACGAGAAGTATGTTTTGGTCTAAAAATGGCTTCATTAATTTTCTTCACTATGTGAATAAATAATCGTCCATAAATTCCTTTCACAAAAGCATCTCTAATGTCTACGGATTGTTCTCTTGAAAGCGTCGATATCTATAATTAGCAAACATGATTAAAAATGCTAAGTAATAATTAACATTAGTCAATAAATATAGTGAATTTTGATAACATTTACCACTGTCTCACCGTGCGCGAATATCGTCCGCCTCGTAAGAGCATCTATTAAAGATTGAATAGGAACACCTAATAATTGAGCTACTTTCGTTACATTCGTTTGTTCGGGAATTTCAGTTGCATCCAAATTGTCTATTACAGAAAAGTATCATTTTATAAATGTTAATAATAATAATAATAATTATTAGTAATAATTTTCAAATTAAGGCAATTTATTTATAAAAATACAGTCGAACCAGAATATGTAGGTATATTTATAAGTATAATTATATTTACTGCTTACCTACAACAGTAGCTCTACTTTTAACATTTCCTATGTGTAATAAAGCTGCTAATAATTTTAAAATGTCCCAAATTTCAGAATCAGTAAATAATAATACTTTCATTGCTGATCTAATGTCTGCAAATTCAACAGCATCGTCGCGTCCTTCACATGTAATGCTACCGCCCTGCAAATACATACTAAAATTGATCCTAAATAATAGTAGTGTGCAAAAAAGCTCGAATAATGAAATATAATATAATTTCTTTCCGTTTAGAAAAGGGGTTAACATTTTTTCCAGAACTTTTGCTTTTTGGGTGCAATTGAATTAATTATTACTTAGAACTATAAATATTTAAAATGATATTCTTACCCCCACCAAATACCTATACGATGATGCGTCTTCCAGTTCAAGTTTTTGCTTTTCGTCCTTTGAGAGACCGGCCAACATGCAATAAAATATATGATAATTCCTCTCATCCATGCTTTGAGATACTATTCGAGATTTTTCCAACAGATACTGTTCTATTTTAGCTCCTTCTATTACGCCTTGATGATTGAAATGAATGTCTATGTATTTTCCAAATCGAGATGAATTGTCATTTCTAACAGTCTTTGCATTTCCAAATGCTGAAATTAGAATAGAATCAAGCACACCATGAAGTAAATAAATTATTAAGATTTTTTTAAAAAGTAGGTACAATAATAAGCACTATCAAAAGAAATATGATTGTTTTACCTTCTAAAATTGGATTAGCTTCTAGAATTTGTTGTTCTATCCATGAGTGCTTTCCACTAATAGCTGCCAAATACTGCAAAATCAATTTTGTGCTCTCGGTTTTTCCTGCTCCACTTTCACCACTGAAATATTTATAAACATTTGTAGTGCAATTCATCATTAATTATATTTAGATGCTATAATTATTATATTATATTATATTATATTAATAATTTAGTAAAAATCTGGATGTTCATTTCACTCTTACCTTATTACTATACATTGGTCCTGAGCGTATCGATTCATGTGAGCATAACTGTTATCTCCTATTGCAAATATGTGTGGAGGTAATTCACCAATTTTTCGATCTTTGTAAAGTTTTATTTGTTCAGCAGTGTATATTGGTAATATTTGATATGGATTCACAGCCACTAATATGGAACCAGTATACGTCTAAAACAATGCAATTGAATTATGATTAGTATTGTTTGATTATTAATATGTACTTATTTATTTCCGTATTAATTTTTTTTTTTTTTTGATGTCATATTTGAATAAAGTTGTTTTGCAAGTAGAAGTATCTTACGTAAATAAGATTTTCGTTGTAACGAATAAGAAGATTCCTCAAAATCCCAGCTTCATGGAGGTCTCCCAAACTGATCATATCTTCTACACCCTGCACTGATGTAGCGTGCATAGCTTTTATACGTCTTTCGGGTGTTAGCCATTGTTCCTGTAAAAGCAAAAAGTACATATTTTTAAAGACATTACATTTTATAAATGAGTTATATTAATGAAATTAATGAACAAATGTTATACGATATATGCATAGGGTGGAGGAATTGGTTGAGATGAATCCTAAGTATTTTTGGAATTTTGTTAATAAAATTAGAGATAAATGTTGCATTTCCAATTATATGTTTTTTAAATGACAAACAAGCCGAAAATGATATATATTGCCGAGTTATTTTGCGAGCGTTTCAAATCTGTATTATATGATACTAAGAACTATGACTCAACTTTTTTTGTCTAATGATAGCAATACTGGTTTTAATGACTCAAAATTGATTTTGATTCAGTCATTATCACTAAGAACGCAATCTTTGAAAAAATTAAAGAGTTGAATGTGAACACTCTTCTTTTATTAATTGTTATGCGTAATTCTAAATATTTTCACAAGTTATCCGCACTGAGAATACTCTATTTTTCATTGATTAGGTCAATTATTGAATTTTGTTCTTTAATTTGGTTTTCCCTTTCCTATAGGGATCGAAAGAGTATCGAAATTGAAGTTACCTTATTATCGTCGTCTTTTACTTGAATACGTCTGCCTTCTGCTGAAACAACTCGAGCACCAATAGCAACATCAAATTCCCTTCCTGAGATGGGCTCTATCCATATGTAATCGCCCTGAAAATCATTAAATTAATCAAACACTACTGAAAACAAATGAAGATCCCATACATAATTGCGGTCATTTTTTTAAAATTCCATGTCGTTAATAGCAGATTAGCAAATCTGATCGAGATTAATGTACATTTGAACACATTTGAAACATACTAAAAATAAAATACCAAAGGCTTGTGATTTTAGAGCAACGGCCACTTTAAATTTGCCTACATGTAGTTACAAAGTTTCAATCTGAATGTTATGTAGAAATTCGTCAAGTTCAATAAAGGGAAATATTGATGTCCCAAAGAAGAGCAGCTATATAGGATTTTGTTCCAAACGGATGCGTACTGATGCAGAAACATCTCATTTCTTTGGGGGTCTTCCATAAACCACGTGGTCCCATTTTTTTTAAATTTAAACCTCCCCTCCCCCCATGTGGCATGCTGTTACATGTATTAGCGCCATTTTTTCCTCTTATATCGTGGTTCATAGCTGACCCCCCCCCCCCACCTCCTTGAAGCGCCACGTGGCTTATGGAAGACCCCTTGCTGATTAAGCTATTTTTTTTAAATCAGTAATACACAATATTTTTGTCAAGTTATCGAATTTATAGAATTAGAATATTTACTTACCCGAGTAACGATCACCATTTCTCTTCACTGCTTGTTATTACGGTGATATCTGCAAAAAATGAAAGGTACATTTATATATTTAAGATTAATTTATCGAATATTTTTAAATTATACGTTTTTATTATTTGAAAGGATATTTCTTCTAACAGATATTAAATATAATAAAAAATTATTCATTTCAATTCTTATTATTTTCCAGAAATAATATGCCAAAACACGGAGATATTCAGAACATTTTTAGAATTTATTTCCGATCCAGAAAAAATTCGTATCTTGAAAAATAACGCTAGTCTTGTAAATTTATTTTTACAATTTTTGGAGTCAAATATGAAATTTGGACTTTTTTCATCAAATTGGAGCTTTTTCTTTGGGCTTGACAATTTTTTTAAACAATTTTTGGAGTCAAATATCAAATTTGGACTACTTTTCATCAAATTGGACCAATACATTACTTTTTTTTATTAAAAAAAGCATTTCCGAAGGACGAAAATAGTCAGAACTTTTTTAGAATTTGTTTCCGATCCAGAAATAATTAGTATCTTGAAAAACGATGTTGGTCTTGTAAATTTATTTTTACAGTTTTTGGAGTCAAATATCAAATTTGGACTTTTTTTCATCAAATTGGACCAATTCAGAAAAGTTTGTATCTTTAAAATCGAGGCTGGTTTTGATAATTTTTTAAAACAATTTTTGGAGGCTATTATCAAATTTGAGCTTTTTTATCATCAAATTGGCGCTGGTTTTGACTATTTTTTTTAATAATTTTTAGAGTCGAGTACCCTACATGAAGCTCAAATGTTGTGCTATTTGGGTTAAAAAATAAAATAATTCTGATTTAGATTAACATATAAAAATAATGCATAATTTGACTTTTAAACAATATATTTCTCAATTACAAAAGGTTTTTTTACAATACTTACAGCATATTTATTAAATTTTTTACAGGTATCTAAAATACTTTCTAATTTAAACCCTAACAGGAACCGGATATTCAAGATATTCTATAAGGGGCCAAATGAACTTTTTGTGTCTAAATCTGTCTAGAGGTCACAATTTTCATTCAAGTTAAACAAAACTTTTTTTCAAATCTTCGTTACTAAATTCTCTATCGATTCCTCGATGCCGATTTTTTAATTTTTGTTTATTTATATTTATTTGTTTATAACAAAGTATGAAAAAATCGATATTTTGCTATTTCATAAATTTTTAAATTGTTTAAACAATTTTTTATTGTTAATTTTATTGTAATTTTTTTTTTAACATTAATAATCAAAATTCTAATTTTTTTTTACATTTTTCAACATTTTACGCAGAAAATAATTAAATATAATAGAATACAAAAATAAAGGGTATTGTGTAAATATTTAACATAATTGTTTAAACAAATTAAATAATTAAAGAAAATTACATTTTTATTATCTAAGCCACTCCAATTTTTTTAAAATAACAAAAATAATTTGTTTAAGCAATTTTGAAATTAGATATAAGGAAGTTCTTTTTATAGCTACGTATTCTTACAATTTTTTTAATATAATAATGTTTTAGAAATTAAGGTAAAATATAAATTAGAACCTTGATTCTATTAAAAGTTAAAAAATATTAATAATTTGTTTAAATAATTATAAAAGTTATCATTCGCAAACCCCATTTTTGAGTTTAGTTCATTTAAATAGAAAAAATTTAAAGATTAAAAAAATCGACATTTTAATTCTTTTTAAATAAAATTTACCAAAAAACGTAATTAATGAAATAAATTATGAAATTAATAGGTATACTGAATGTTTGCATATTAATTACCCATTAAATTTTGGGTATGAAACTCTAAGAAAAGTATACTACAAATTAAATTTTTTCAATTATGTTCTTTTTTTCAAAAGTTAATTGATTATAATGCATTGTTTATTTAATAAAAGTGTAATTATATCAATTTTTTCACTCATCTAAGAATACTAAAATATGTAGGTACTTAAAAATATGTACTTTTTAATGTACTTAAAAATTTTTTAAATGTTAAAAACTTTATTTTATAGCAACATATCGATTTTTTCATACTTTGTTATAAACAAATAAATATAAATAAACAAAAATTAAAAAATCGTCATCGCGGAATCGATAAAGAATTTAGTAACGAAGATTTTAAAAAAAATTGTTATGCAAACATTATCTATTTTACTTAATTTTATACCGCATCAATACCATAATTGAATTGTTGTTAGTGTTTTAAAAAAAAAATTATGTTAATATGTTTTTTTCTTAACTTTAAGAGTTTAATAAATGTTAAATCATTTTTAAACATCTACATTGTGATGTTCATGAATACTTAATTATTTACATCAAACAACTCCTGCAATTAGGATTAGAAGAAAATGCTTAAAAAGTAAGTTTTAATCTTTTAAAACTATTAAGAATATCTTCAGTTTTAATACTTTTGTGAACCACTTTCTTAAAAATTAATCAGGTCACAGATAAACAAATAACTGAAAAATACAGGTTTAGTAACTAAAAAGGGAGAAAATTTTTTATTAAATATCTTAGTCAATTTTTCAGTTCTTTTTTCCTAATAATTTTTGTTAATAAAATATAATATAATGATAAAAAAGAATTAAAAAAGATATTTCTGACGCAGCTAAAGGAACTTTAGAAAATACTTAATAGGAAGTTAAATTATTATTAATTAATAATTATTTATTAATAACGAAATTTTTATATAAATTGAAGATTACTTAGTTGTTTATAATCTACAGCGAAGAATCAAGTTGACCACAATTTTAACTATTTACACTTTGTAATTAAGACACTAATTTACTTTTTGTTTTATCATTATTTTGAAGAAATTGTAATTAATTTTTCAATCTTTTAGTAATATTATATATTTATATGCATAAACAAGGAAGAAATTAGATATTTTTCTTCTTCCTTGTACTTGACCTCATTAAATTCATGCCGGGTACTTTTGATCCGGCATAAAAACTCTCCATGTGCTAGATTAAAAAATTTTTTATTCTTGAAAACTTAGACTATAAACTATAGACTGAAAAGTTTCCAAGAATAGAAAATTATTTAATCTAGAATTAAATCCGTAAATTTTTTCGAAATTTATTTGATGGTTTACAGCCTTTGAAAAATATTTGCCATAAAAAAAATCTTTCTAAAAAAGCATTTTTCAATTATCCATTTAATTATTTCTAGAATCTTATATTTCTTTTACCTTAGAGCTAGTGCCGAAAGTAAAAAATCCAGGAAATCGAGTTATAACGTAATTAAGTAATATATTTTTACGCCATTAAAACACTCCACTGCACCTCAAATAATTATTTTAATGTACACTTTGTTCATGGTGTTTAAAACGATACTTTTTATAATGACATATTTAATTGTTTTCTAATTATAAATCTAAATAGCAACTTTGGTAGGGAAAAAATTTTGAAAAATTGAATTTACAACTTTTATAATCACTGGTGATGATGATGATCACGGGAAACTTGTAACTTGTACTATAGTTAAAAAAAGTAAAAAAAATCACACTTTGTTACAGCGCTGATGCCACGATGACCGGCACCTTCCTTAACGAGTCCATTCGGTAGCTTTCGGTACAGGTCGGACGCACCAGGTAGAAAAGTAAATAGGAAAAATACAGAAACTTCTCCTCCAACAATGTTATAGGCTTTAACTTCCGTTAAAATTTACCAAAAATGGGAAGAATTTTAAATAAATATAAATGACATTTTAGATTGAAAAAAGAAATAAATATATCGATATAACTGAACCCACTATTTTAGTTGTAACGACGACAATAACAGCGGAATGCATCTAGCTACGGACTTTGACACTGAACTGACTCTACAGAATAACGGCAGGTGAAGGATCCAATCTACTCCGAGCGTAATGCACATACCAAACTTAAAATAACTGTTACTTTTGCTTTTGCTTCTATGGCTTATAATGAACCTTTTTAAAAATTTCATAATATTACTTTTTTTTAAATATTTAATTCAAGATGTCCTTGAGAAAAATTTAATCTTTCTTATTTTCGAAAACAAGTACTGTACACTTGTTTAATGTAAAAAATTTTTTACCTTGCAACATCTGCTTTACCTGATAAGTTCTATACTTTTATATACTAGCAACTAGCCGGTCACCGGTTATACCAAATACAGAATGTAATCGACCTAATATCATTTAGCTTTACAATAAGGATTTCGTAACTTTTTTGTTAGGCAATGATTCTTTATTTAAAAAAAATTTGTTTATTTTTATTTATAATAACAATATACAGGAACAATGTACGGAAATTGCAATGCAGTATAAGAAAATATGATTTAATATATAAGTATGAAAAAGATAAAGTTGACGACTTAAAAATAAATTTATTTTATTTAATTCTAAATATTTAAAAAATATTTACTTGGTTTAAATATGTTTTATTAGAATCTAAAAGTCTATTTACTTCAAATAACTTATATAACTTGAATTATTTGATTCACACTTATTTGAAAAAAGGAAATCTTAATTGGGTCATGTAAATAATTAATTCTATAACAAATTTCATACTAATGCTAATAAATTGAATTCCTGCAACCAATTTTATTATTCATGAAAGAATATAAATTTCTTTAAAAATAATTTAATTCTTGCGAAGGTAAAAAACACTGTAAAAAAAGGGAGTTAAATTTTAACTCCCCAGGGGATTCTATAAAAGTCGCACCCATTGGGGAGTTAATGCCAGGGGAGTTAAATAAAGCGAGTTAAAACTTCACACCCAAATGCTAACTCCCCAAGGAAAAAATAACTCGCGCGGGTGTTGAATGAAGGGAGTTAGAAATTAACTCTCTTTTGGAGTTGATTTTTAACTCGAAAAATTTCACTTCCAACTCCCGAGTCCGTTAACCCGTCAGCAGTCGCGCCTTTTTTAGTGTCTCACTTGCACTCTATGACTCTAAGAGCGCCCTATAGGTCGAGTAGTGTTGCGTGAGACTTTTTCTCACGGCGCGACCGCTGACGGGTTAACTCCCTAAATTTTTTACAATGTATAAGCGTCGCTGCGCGCGGTTGTAAGGGATAATACCAGTCAGGTAGCAGTGAACGGCCCAGAGGCGGTCACTGCTACCTGACTGGTATTATCCCTTGCAACCGCGCGCAGCGGCCTTCAATTGATTTCTGTTTAGAAATTTTATGAAAATAGTACATATTGAAAATCATTGAATTGCGAAAAGTTTTTAAAAATAATTAAACTTTACACAGAATTCAATTAAAATTTTTGACTCAAAATAATTTAATTTTCAGGAATAATTTTGTTATTTATCTTTAATAATTGAATTCTTTCGAAGAATTATTTATGTAAATAAATTGAATTCTTGGAAAGAATCTTATTAAAATCTGAAAGAATAATTGAATTATTTCAAAAAAATTTATAATTAAAATTATAGGATTTAAAATAATTGATTTCGTTCGAACAATTTTCTTTGAATTTTTTAAAATAATTGAATTCCTGTAAAAAATTCTAATATTTTTATAAATAATTGAATTTTTGCAAAGAATTTAATAAAAAACATTTTATTAGGTAAATAATTATGATTTCTTTTGAGGAATTGAAATTAAATGTTTAAGAATAATTTCATTTTTTGAGCAATTCCTGTAAAATTGTATTAGAAATAATTGAAATCCTGTGATGAATTTTATTATTTATGAAAATAATTATTTTATTAATATTTCATTAATATCATGAAAAAATACCTGCATATTTTCGATTTGTCAAACAATATTTTTTAAAGAAAAAAAAAAATTATACACAAAAACGAACTTCAAAGTGTGGACAGACAGAAAAAATGAAAGAATACGAAGATTATTATTAGTTTATTCTGGAAACAAAACAATAAAATTATTATCAATAACTTTAATTTGCCAATCATAAGTTTTCATTAACAAACAGAAATTATGAAAATTATTCTCTTTTTTCAAAAAAAAAAAAAGAAAAACAGAATTTTGCCTAAAACTATGATTGAAAAAAATGAATTAAACAATTTTTTTTTTATATAAAATAAGAAGTTTAGAATTTCGTAAACAAAATTGTGATTGAGAAGCAAAATATATTCAATATATGGGTTTCATTTCTTAATCATCCCGTGTGTGAAAGACTATACAGTACCACACCCCCATATATTTTGATGCAAAGAATTTAACTCATTGAATTGCGAAAAGTTTTTAAAAATAATTAAATCTTACAAAGAATTCTTTAATACATTTAAAAATAATTAAATTCCTGTGAAAAATTCTAATACTTTTTTTAAATAATTGGTTCTTTTGAGGAATTGAAATTAAATTTTTAAGAATAATTACATTTTTTGAGCAATTCCTGTAAAATTGTATTAAAAATAATTGAATTATTGTGAAAAATTTTATTAAAATGTTTAAAAGAATTGAATTTCTGTAAAAAATTTTGTTACAATTTTTTGAAAAGAATTGAATTCTTCATAAGAATTTTATTAGCATTGTATTAAATAATTAATTTTTTCGAAATATAATAAATATAATGAAAATTTTATTTTAAATAATTGAATTCTTGTGGAAAAATTTATTTGTGAAAATAATTGAATTTGTCGAATTGAAATTCTTCGATGAGTTTCATTATGCTTGCAAGTATGTAATATTAAATTTTTGCTTATAGAATATTATCCAAAATTTCTTTAACAAATTGAATTTACATGAAAAATGTTATTATTAGTGAAAATATTTGAATTATTGTGAAGAATTGTATAAAAATTTTGTTAAATAATTCATTTTTTCGAAAAATTGAAATTGAATTGAAATTGAATTCCTGTGGAAATTTTATTATTTATGAAGTTACTTAATTGAATTTTGGATAAGTTTTATCAATTTTTTTAAATAATTGAGGCCTTGGATCGAATAACTCGCCCGACGCTCGGAGGAACGCGCAACTGCCAGTCAGTGAGCAGTGAGCGTTTTTTGACTTTTAGTATTAGCGAATTTTCGAAAACTAATTATTTATTTTGCTTTAAAATGTGTACTCATTGGTTTTTCGGTATTTGGTCGCTGATAAGAAATCTCAAGTCAGACTTTGAGAAATCAACATGTCGGCCGTTTGAAAATAATGTAATTTTTATTTATGTCTGTTTATGGTACGCACTCGTTTGTCTTCAAATGACCTGTATGGTGTAAAAATTGTAATACCTATATTTAATAATAGCGCATGTAATTATTTATAGTTAAACATAATTTTATTCATGATTTTTAGATTTTTTTGTCCTCTATTGAAACGCATAATTGTCACATCAGCAGTATTCTTTAATACCTGAAATAATGTTATTCTTATTTTTAATTAAATAAACTATAATATGGAGACTTTAATTTATAAAGGAGTATGTACTTTTATATGAACTACAAGTTTACGAAGATTTTCGTGATTTATTATGAATATTAATAAACTTGAAATAATTATTAAAATTTATCATTAATATTTGATAAAATTATTATTAATCCATTTTACTAGTTTTACAAAAACTATTAATGATTCGAATTATGAAATAATGTTAAGCTACCTTTTGTTGCAAAACGTCACATATCTTAAAATTTAATTTATTTTGTTTTTTTCGTTTTTTTGTGAAATAAATACTGCATGAGCATGAGCACGAATGAAAATAAGGTCCAACGGAATTATTCTTTGTGAATGACCCTTCAAAAGACCAACGCGCAAACAATAGGTTCGCGAACGAGGCAGAAAAGGACACAAATATATCTCTGTCTTTTTCTAACTCATGCTTTGCGTTCGCGAACAACGACGTTCACGATTCAGGCTTCCGTATATTCCGTACGTGTCCGATCACGTGCCCGACTCGGTTGTTAATGGGATCACACCCTAAGGTGTGTAGGCGCCTTAAACTTAGTTGAATGGGTAACCAATTACTCTAAGCAAGGTGTGAAGGAACCATAATTTTTGACAGAAAGAATTACATGGAATATTGTATATGGTTATTACTTGGGATATTATTGTTTAGTGGATTAGTCAATGTCGGAAATAAATCGTTGCGATATTAATGTAGGGTGTCAAACAGTCAATGTCTGTTTAACGTAAGACGATAAATTTGACAGAAGCACTTCATAGTGGGTGGTGGATTCGAGGCTAGAAAAGAAATCCTACAGTTAAGGAATTTCATCCCTTCAACCGTTTCTGATGAGCTCTGACACCGTGCACTTCGTGTTAGTAACATGGCTGTACAATTGGACAGCGGAGGAAAGGATGATTTAAAAACACAATTTGTCACGAGGGAAGGAACGTATCAACTGATGACCTTGTCGGAATATTCTAGGCCGAATAGGGTTGGATACACGAATAATCAAGGCAGTGCTTCTGTCCGGGTTTCATTTGTCACATTGCCGGATCCCACAGATCCCACTGGCACGCAAGGACTCGGGGATCGAATGTGCTTTAATTTCGGCAAGGAGCTTTACGTCTACGTCTATCGTGGCGTTAAAAAGGTTAGTTAATCTCGCAAAAGATTCAACCACTTTTTCTCCCGCTCCACCATTCTACGTGTCTTCCATTTCTCAACTCTAACCTAGAAAAATAATTTTTTTTTTCCTTTTTCCCCTTTTTACAATTTTCTCACGTTTTTCGACCTTTTTTTTTAAAGATTTGTCACCTTTTCCCCTCTTTTTGATGATTTGTCCCCTTTTTCACCTTTTTCTAATCTAAAATGAATCTTTTTTTTCGAAAACTTTTTCAAAGTGTAATCATAAAATTTACACTCAATGTTATAGAATTCAATGCGTTTTCATTTTGATTTAGATTAACACCACAACATAATATAAATATGTTTTTTTACTCTTTCTGATTTAAATAATATAACGTAAAGAATTTTATAAATTATAAGGTGGTTCATTCAACAGAATGCAGACCTCGAGAAAAATAATTAATTAGCATTTAAGTAATTAAAATATTATTATTAATAGTTAATTTATCTATTGTTATACTATTGCGCGGAACGTAATACTCAAATTATTATTATTATGCAAATTACAAATTTTTTTATTTTCAAACATAAATTTTTGAATAGTTTCATAATCAAAATTTTTAAAACTGTCTTATTAATTACATAATTAACTAGCAAATGATACGCGCAGAACGCAGTATTCCATTTCTTATTATTTTTGAAATTGAAAATTTTTATATTTTCAAGAATAAACATCAATTTTTGAATGATTAGAGATTTAAAATTTAAAGAATTCACTTATTAAGTACATAATATTAAATATTCTTGTTTATTATTATTCAAAAATTTTAATAAAAATTTCATTATTCTCATAAATAATAAAATTCTTCACAAGAATTCAATCATTTTCAATGCAATTTTATTAAAATTTCTCGAAAGAATACAATTATTCCTCGAACAGGTTCAATTATTTCTAAAAATGGTAATAACATTTTTCTAAACACTTCAATTGTTCTCAAAAGATTTTAATAAAATTGTTTGTAAATTTCAATTATTTTAAAAATTTTCAATTAAAATTACTTTAAAAAATTACAATATTTTTACGAAATTTAATTAAATTCTTCGAAAAAATGTAATTATTTACAAAAACTCTAATAAAATTGTTAAAAAGAATTTAATTTTCTATGAATAATTTTAATATAATTTAATAGGAAAGTCATTAATAACAATTAATATTAAACACGATTATTTAATAAGCTCGAAAGAAATTTTTCTTAAAATTCAATTATGTTAAAAATTTCCAGTAAAAATTATTTTTAAAAAAACTTCATTATTTATAAAAAAATTGAAATAAATTCTTAAAAACAATTGAATTATTTTAAAGAATTTTAATAAACATCTCGCCAAGAATTGAATTCAATTATTTAAAAATTTTTTTATAAATACTTTACAAAAATTCAATGATTTTCAGTAAATAGACAATTTAATTATTTCTGAAAATAATTGAATTCCTGAATAGAATTTTATTAAAACTTTTTTAAATAATTGAATCCCTGCGATAAAATTTATTATTTCTACAAATAATTGAATTTTTGAAAAATTTTAAAAAGCAAGTGAATTCTTGAATTGAATTTTATTTAAAGTTTTTTAATTAATTGAACTTCTTTGAAAAATTCAATTTTTTTTAAAAATAGCACTATTATTTTTGTAAAAAAGAGTTCTGACCTAATATTTGGAAAGAGAATAAAGACCAACAAAAAAAGTCTTTTTTACAATTTCCAAAGTTCTGTAGTTTTTTCAATTTTGAGTTTAGAAGAAAAGTTTATTGGGATTGTGTATAGAAATCTTTTTGCTGGTACCAGAACTCTGCTCAGAAGTCATGAAAAATTAATTTTTTGCAAGAATATTTTTTTGAAATTTTTCAAAGTTTCGTAGTTTTTTCGATTTTAATTTTAGAATAAAAGTTTATTGGGATTGTGTGTAGAACTCTCATTACTAATACCAGAACCCCTTTTTCACCTTTTTTTAAATAAAAAATAAATTTTTTCTTTTTTTTTTTAAATATCTTTCAAAGCGTAATCATAAAATTTAGACTCAATGTTAGAATTTAATGCGTTTTATTTTTGATTTAGATTATTAACACAATATAAATATATTTTTTTAATGTGGTTCATCCAACAGAATGCAGACCTCTAGAAGAATAATTAATTAGCATTTAAGTAATTAAAATATTATTAAGAGTACTTTTTAGAAAAATATTAAAAAGTTATTTTCTATGAAACAATTTAAAACTAAGAAATTTGAGTATTAATACATTGTTAATATAACTTTTAACACATTTTAATTTGTTGTTTAGTTATATATTTTGTATATTACTTATTATTTAATTATCTTTCAATTAAAACAAGTTTTATCTATAAAAAATGTGAACGGAGAAATTGAAGAAATATTTGGTACTAATTTTCAAATCGATCTTGGACTATTAGATGTTATGTCAATGATTTTAAAAATTCTATTTTCATGATAAATATAATAAATTTGATTTATTATTGAAAATTTGTTTTTTCGACTAGGCTGTGGATTTAAATAAACCAGTTGAAAAGAAGTTGTACAAAGGAACCAATCCCACTTGTCATAATTTTAATCAAAGTGCTGCAACAGTTGATGGTGCACCACTTCTAGTCGGCTTTTCAACGGGTCAAATTCAACTTATAGATCCAGTTAAAAAGGACAATAGTACATTGTACAATGAAGAAGTAAGTAATTAATAAATATTATGGTCATAGTTGTGTCTCTTCAGTAATAATTTTTTTTCAAAATGTTGTATGTAGTAAGCAACAAGGGACCAAAGGGTAATTGTTTACGCTGTTGTTTTCAGCACAATTTGTCTGCTTTGGCCACCCAAAACTTGAAAAATTGAGAGACCATCCATTTTCAGGTGAATCAAAAGCTTTTTGAAACATAAAATTTATGGGAACTACAATTTTTTTCTTTTTATTTTTTGAAAGATGATAACATTTTGAAAAGAACAAGATATCAAATGACTTTTGTAAGGTCTTATTCTTTTCAAAATTTTATCATCTTTTAAAACATATATGTACGAAAAAAATTTAGTTTTCATAAATTTTATGTTTAAAAATTTTCGAGATTTTTTTCATTTCCCTGAAAATGGTTGGTCTCTCAATTTTGACCGGTGCTGTAGTAAGCCGATATAAAATTATTTTTTTTTAAATAAAGGTTATTAAATTTCCTATAAACTTGTATACAAAATGTTTGTAGTATACATGTTTTTAGCAAAATTTTTTTTTATTTTACTAAGGAAAATAAGTCTTAGGAGACTTTGGAAAAGCAGTTGAAATTTTGCTTTAAAAAAAAGTGTCCCCAAGGTGGCTAGCATTCAAAAATTCACTGAAAAAATTTTAAAAATAGTTGCAAAAATCAATTTAAGGTAACTTTATTCGAAATGTATTGTTTTTTGCTTATATTTACAGAATCAATAGTTGGAAACTCTGTTATTTGCTTATAAGAAGCTATTCTAAAATATTGTTAATTATTTATCCTATTTCATACATTAAAAACTAAATTACTTTATTATTCATCATAAAATTTTTCAAATCGATAAAATTTACATTTTCCATAATATATTTTGATAAATACACTGCAAGCCCGATTAGCGGTCACCCGATCAGTGGTCACTTGTTTACGTCGTTTGTAGATGGGGCGGGCGAGAGGCAAAGAGGGAGTCGAAATATTACATCGTAAATAAATTCAAAAGTGATTTTACATAAAAACGCATGGTGGACACCTTAGGGCCAGGACATTTTTTAAAAGTTATTAAAAAATTGTATAACACACAATTTTATCGATATTCATCTATAATATTATTGTATTTGTAAACAAGATTACCACAAAGTTTAGAACTTTTAAACTATTAACTGTAATCACAGTATCACTTTAAAAAGAATGCTTTCAAAATTTTTTTTACTGAAATTTAACGATGTCTCTGTTAGAAAGAAACGCGTTTAGTTATACACGTCTAAACATAACCAAAAACTTTGTCTTCATAAACAATGAAAATAACCTGAAGCCTTCAGTGCTGCTAAATAATGCACAAGAATTTCCCTAGGGTGGCCATCTTGGGGCCCTCTACCCTATATAGTATAAAAAGGGGAAGTGTACCGGTTGTGGGCACCGACGGCACCGTTTTGTTTTTGCCTCATAACATTTGTCCATGTGCATATTATACAAATATATGTGTACGAATTTAAAGCTAGAGGTCTTAGGTGACTGTCAGTGAAGGAATTAAATTGATTCCTTCAAGTAAAAAAGTTTTATTAGAAATTTAGTGAAATGAAAATTTTTGCACCCGGTTGTGGGCATCCTTGAAAAATCCGCTAAAAATGAAAAAATATTAAAGAAAACTAACACAAATAAAGAAGAAATGAAAGTTTCTTTATTTTGAGAGTCTTCGCCGGCATAAAGAACAAAAATTATGACACTTTTTCACACTATACTCATCGCTAACAGAAGCATTTTGCTTGTATGTGACGTAGCTGGCACGCATATCAACGTACTTCTAATGCACTGAACGACTATATTCATTGCATTTAATGGAGTTTGCGACTATCAAATTCCTTGGCAGAAAGTTTAGATAAATGAGACAGTAGTCCAGACGATCGTCAGATGATAGAGCCTCCTTAACATAAAAGTACCCATAACCGGGAATGACAGTCATTTTTTTAAAAGACTAACACATTATGCGATGCAGGATTTTGGTTAAACACGATGGTGAATCACAAAATGAAATGACAAGACTGCAAAAAAACTAAAACATTTTTTCTTCTGAATGAATCCATACCTATATGTCGCTTTTCGAAAACAAAAAAATCACTTTAACGTCTGCTTGCCGTCCAGGTTTGCGTAGGGATGCCCACAACCGGCGCACTTCCTGATTCCTTAATTAATTGATCTTGTATTCTTTAATGAAATGCCTTTTATTGTTCATACAATGAAGATTTGAATTATTATCTTTATTAAAGTAAAATTTTGTTTACAGCGGCTTATAGATAAAACAAAAGTTACTTGCATCAAGTGGATTCCCCAATCAAGTAACTTGTTTCTCGTCTCACACAGTTCAGGTCAACTGTATTTGTACAACAAGGAACTTTTATGCGGAACTACTTCACCGCATTATCAGCCATTTAAATCCGGCACTGGTTATGCTATTCATACATGTAAAACAAAGTCGACAAGAAATCCACTCTACCGATGGGTTATTGGGGCCGATGGTTGTTGTATAAACGAATTTGCTTTTAGTCCCTGCGGGACAAATTTAGCTGTTGTGTCTCAAGACGGGTTCCTCAGAGTATTTCATTACGATACGATGGAGCTCATGGGGTCGGCGAGAAGCTACTTTGGTGGATTCCTTTGTGTTTGCTGGTCACCCGACGGTAGATATGTTGTTGTTGGTGGTGAGGATGATCTTGTTACAATTTGGAGCTTCAATGACAAGCGAATTGTTGCTCGAGGACAGGGCCATCACAGCTGGGTCAGTGTTGTTGCCTTTGATCCTTACACTACATCCTATGCAGAACAGGATCCAGATTTCAGTGGTTCAGACGACGAGACCATTCCACAACACAATTACCATCATATCCGCGAGAAGACAACAAGGCCTTCGACTACTTCGCAAAGCGGACAGTCGAATCGAAATTCATGCAGCTCTGAGATTAGAGTCTCGGGTGGTACTTGCTACAGACTAGGCAGTGTTTCACAAGACACTCAACTTTGTCTCTGGGACATTACAGAAGACGTGCTGCGACAGCCCGTTTGTCCAAAGCAGAGGCCATCGGTCGTGAGTTCCCTCTCCAATGTTTGCAATTCCAGTGGTAACGGTGCCACATCGAATCACTTCTCGAATCACAAATACAATAATGTTAATAATGTTCACCTGAAAGAGAAAGTGATCAGCAATGACGGTAGCAACAACGCAAGCACGAACACAGCAGCGTCGACAGTCAACTCCTTGACCCAAAGGTTAGCGGGACTGGGATTTGGCGAGCGAAAAAGCGATAATCACAAAAGGAATTTCAGCCTCACCATGAAGAACAACTCTGCGGGCAATAATTCCATAGTTCTAAGTTGTGGAGGTGATAAGACGAGTAGTAATTCTAATGGAAGCAATATGTACAGTGGAAGTGGAAATTTGAGTTCGAGTAAAAAGTCCGGATCGGCAATAGATGATCCCATGAAGTTGATAGGAACAGCCTGGTGTCCGAGATTCGATGAGTGCCCAGTGCTCGAACCGCTGGTGTGCAAGAAACTTGCGCACGAAAGACTGACTGAATTAGTATTTAGAGAAGATTGCTTCGTAACAGCGTGTCAGGATGGATACGTCTATACATGGGCAAGACCTGGCCACATGGTAGGTCCCCTCACCATCAGCAACACGCTGCATAGACCGCATCATCCAAGTCACCCCTACACTAATGTCAATTTTTCAAGGTCTAACGATCTATGATGAATCGAACAACCTATTAGCGATTCTACATAATGTGGAATTTTCTAATATTTATCATTTAAGGAATTTGTACATATTAATATATTCCAGATTAATATCTTACACTTTAGTCTTACACTTTACCTGCCTTATTCATTTTTAATTCAGAAAGAAATTAAAAAAAACTATCTAAACTCTTTGGAAACAACTAGGTTCGATTTGTTATTCCAAGGTACATTTTTTTTCTTAATTTTTATTTTACTTCAAATTTTTTCATACCTCCATGTATATTTAATAAAACTCAGAGAAGTAAATATTATTGTAATTATTGTTAGAAATCACTGAGTGTAAATTAGTGTAAATAAGATCGTAAAAATCTATTTAGACATTTTTTTAGACAGTCAACGAGTTTTTATACGAAAAAAAAAAAAAAAATTTTTCACCTGGAGGTACTGATTTATATACGCTGCTAGCAACCAAAGATCAGAAATTCAAGCTCTATTCAATAAAATCAAGTTAAAATTTAAAGAACTTAGATTAATATAATCTTTTTATTGAATATATCAGCAATACTGTAAGCGTGAGTATTATCGCTTGTTTTCAGTTTAGACATTGGAAAGCAAAATTAATCATGACTTGTGTATTGATACCCTCACTTACTCTATATGAACTAATTCTTTTTTAACTTCTTTTAAGTTACTGAATTTTTCAGTAAGTAATACTTCTTTACTTTACTTTGCTTTATTTTACTTTATAAAGTAATTTTTCTTCAATTATATTTACACCGAAACCTTTGAAATTTAGGTTGCTTACAATGCCGCTCAATAACTTTTGCCCACCTTACAGGCATTAAACACTATACCGAAGGTTTTGTTACTTTTTTATTATTAAAGTTACAAAGATCAAAAAGGTCTCATTTCTCGTTTGAAAGCTTATTTCCTGAGCTTCAATATTATACACAGAAATCACCTTTTTTTTAACCCTTTAATGTCCATGATTAGACAAATGAAAATATAATCAAAGTTATTATTGGAAACAGGACTGCGGATCAAATAATGACTTTTGACGTCAAAAATTGTTTAAAAAATAATTTTTTTATGAAAACTGTTACAAACAAATGGAGAAAATTGATGTATGACTTTTTAAAAACATTTTCTCTATTTGTAGTAAATAAATAATTTATTAACAAATAATGCATAATTTATACTTTATTAAATATATTATTCATTAAAAAAATTTACAAAACCTTTCAATAAACGGTTTTTTTCTTTTTTTCTAAAAATATCTACTTATTTGTAAAGATTTTACTTGCTGAAGGGTGAGCAAAAGTTTTTAAGCGGCACTGAACGACACTGAACGACAAGGATGAGCTTGTAAGGGGAGAGGCCAGGAAAAAGAAGAAAATTATTACCTTTCAAATTTCTTTAAGTCGTCATCATGTTTGTAATGATCGATGTTCACGCAGCAACAGTGATGTTTAGTGTTGTTGCTATTAATGCATATAATTAAACATTCGTTCAATTAGAACTAAATCTTCTAAGAAATTTGCATTTTCAACATTTTTATTTCTTTATAAATTTAGTTGTAGTAGAATTATTCAAAATATAACTATACTATGACATAATAATAAGATTAAGTGCAGCAAAATATAAAAAACATTTTTTTCTCATACTTACCATTTTATTTACTTACTATATTAAAAGACTTTATTTTAAAAACAAATTTTAATTTTTTAAAAAAGTACAAAAAAGAAATTTTAAATAAAAACCAAAGCAATTGAGAATTATGAACAGCAATGGAAACTGATTGTCAAGTATTTCTTGCAAAAAATATTTTTAGTACCGTCGACTTATTCAACGAATGCAAAATTCTTTTTTATACTCAAATTTTTTTTAAGTTTATTATGTCAATTTAGTTCTTGTTTTAAATGATAGTTTATTATTTTTCGTAAAAAGTAACTTTTTATATCCACTGGAAACGACAAAAAATTGTCAAACTTCAAAAAAGTGCAAGAATTCACAAATTTCTACGAATTAAATAATATTTATTTAAGTATACTAACGGTAAGTATTACTTTATTTAATTGAAAGAATATTCACGTTTAGTTTACTTATTTTTAATTAATATTGTTTAGGTAAAAATTTAGATTCTCTGTGTAATTGACAAAAACGAATAGGCGTTTTTGTATTTTTTAAGTAAGAAATTGATGTTCTGTGGCTGCAATCGTAACAAAACCAGTCTAAAATCATATAGACTCTGTCTAAATTTCTGTCGCTTTGTGACTTTATTTTTAGTAGGGGTAAGTTGTTTGTGCTGCAGATTAGTGTTGTTTATATATTTGTACTTATTATTTCAAAATATTGGAACGGCCAGCACCTTTTGAAAGACCACTTTTGTCCTGTCGATGGCATTTTTGCATCTTCAATAAACTGTACAGAAAATTTTCCATCTCTTCCCTGTGGTGAAACACATACGTTTCGTGATCGAAGAGGAGTTCGTTGGTGAGAGTCTGTGTGGCACGGCTGGCGGATGGGTGTTCGCCGCAAGCGCGTCTCTTTAAATATTTTGAGACGAAACCGAAGTAGGTGATAATGATTCCCGGTTTTGTTCCGGAACCGGTGGGCCTTGCGGGGTTTTTTTATAATTTGATTCCAAATTTACAATTTTAACTTGATCAAAATTGAAGGAATGATGTAAGTGGTAGAACAAATATTAAATTAAATTTGTAAACGATGCCAGTTTGCTTCCATTTATTAGTTGCATCCTTTCCAATCGATTCGAAAAGTCAATGCCACTTCCCACACTGCACCAAAAATTTCCTGAAAGTTGAAATTAGCTTGACTGTAACCTACGGAATCTTTAATAGTGCAAAGCTCATAAAACTTGAAGTTTTTCTTTAAATGACCGATGTCGCGTCAAACATTAAAAAACAGCCGGAATTTAAAGAATTACTTCAACTATAAAGAGCCTCGTAACTAAAGATTCCGAACATTGCAGTCAAGGTAATTTCAACTTTTAGACAAGTTATCTTGTAGCAATCTTTCATAGCAAGATTGCTTGCTACGCTCAGCTTAAAATTCCCCTGCAGGTTCCGTTGCAGGAACTACTTTGACCACATCACAAAAAATCGAAAATTCTTAAAAGTCAACATTTTTCTTCTATTTTAAGTCAAATTGCTTTAATATTTTAGGGCTCTTCAAAAATACTTTACTCGTCTTTTAAACTTCATCCTTTGGTAAAAAAAACTACTTTGACCACTAGCAGCAAAAATCGAAAATTACGATTAAATAAATAAAATTGAAAGAATGGGACAAAAGGGAAAAAGAGGACTATCTGTGATGCCTGAAATTGTTCTTTTGGAAAAAAATTAAACAGGAAAGGATGTTTTTAATTTTTATAAATAAATATAAAATATTGGAATTTGTTTAATAAAAATCGGCCCACAGTTGTTTTGTCTAAAGCCTTGTTTTTTGCCCCACTATGCGTTAGCCATTGTTATACATTTTTGAACAATTCCTACTATTCCACCTGGATGGCGCATAACTCTTATTGAAGCAGGAAAAATACTTATAAATCGTTTAACTATTAGGACAAGTTTAATTTAATTTAATTAATTTTTAATTTAATTCAATATTTTTCGCAGAGACCTGTATTTACCTTTAATGTAAATAATAAATAAAATGAAAAAAAATTACATGTAAATCTATCTGTATACAGATAGATTTAAAATGAGAAAAAGGCGTGGTAGCCGAGCCTCATTAGGAAACTTTTACTCATTATGACTTTTACTAATTGTATTTTTAAGTTGATAGAATAAAATTGCAGAGCATCATTTTTGTTTAAAATCCGAATCATGTTTGTGAATTTCTTTGCGGCGACATATAAATTGACAACAGGTATAGTACGCATAATATAGAAATTAAATTTACTTGGAACGATTCCGTTACGTGTTTCATTTTTAATATTCTTATATACATATATATACACCTACACATTTATTCACTACACATGATTGAAGTTAGGATAAAAACATGAGCATAACGCAACCGCGCCGCCGTAAATGTAGAGGTATTAAATATGCAGGTAAAGAAGCGTTCCTACCGTTAGGTCGAGCCTGTTCACTTCTGTTTTCAGTACCATATCATATTCTCAGTGACCTATTAAAATCAACATACTTTAAACTATGTGCGTATTTTATAAAATGTGATATCAGTTATGGAATACTTTTCATTTTAATCGAGATTTTTATAAAGCAGGTAAATAAATCAAATAATATATTTTTATTAATGAAAAAATTAATTGAAACTTCCCACAAATACACATTATACATTATCTAGATATTATTCATGCTGTCAATTAATCCTAATTATTGTGCAGCATATGACTAAGAAATATGCGCGGACAAAAAATAAATTTAAAAACTCTTTTTAATCAAAATAACATTTATCTTCAGATGAATTTCTTTAAACATTAAATAAAAACATATTTGACACTCCCTATTTACTTTTTAACCTGAAAAACGAACGTATCTATTGTTAAAACGTTTTCTTTCAACTTTTTTACGGATTACAATGAAAAAACAATTTAAAATTTTAAACAATTCTATAATGACTACAATGTGAAAAAAAACATCTGAAAAATATTTTTAACTTATTGAAATGTTACAAGAAATAGTCATTAAAAATAAAAAATAAAATGAGAACTACTTTTTTACTTCTGTTTTTTTAATTTTCACTTTTAAAGTGATAAAGTTTTCTTTTATTATTTCTATCTGTTACTTAAATTTTTAACTCATACAAGCAGCTTCTTTTCAAAAAAACATAAATTATTGTTAAATTTTTAATTTGAATTAAATAATGAATTTAAATAAATTCAATTCTTTTAATATTTCACTCTCTATAATTTTAACAAATCGTACAAAAATACTCCTAATTGAAAATTAGAAACCGTCGAGTATAGGCTAGGCTTATACTATAAGTTAACTTATAATATAATATAAAAATGTTTATCGATTGAACGACAGGCGTAAAAACATTGTGGCCACAAAAAGTAATAAAAACATTGTCTTTGACAAATATTTCTTCGACTTCCTGTATCATAAAATAGACTACCTTAAACTTTGTTTCTAATTAATAATTTAAAAATGATAAAAAAATTGTTTAATAAATATTCAACACTTTTTTCTTTATTTTTTATTTCTCTGAATTTAAAATTTAGTTATTTTTTCATCTAATACACGAGCTTATAAAGGTTTTTAAAAAATGCCCTTAATTTAAAAATATTTAATGTTTGAAGAAAAAGTGTTTATTAGTTAATAGAATGGATAGAAATGTTTGTTATAATTTATCTGTATAGTGTCATCAGATTACATCAATTTGACACAAATTTCATTTTCATAACACTTCAGTGAAAATGTTTGCTTACAAACTGATTACAAGTGTAATCTGTTAATAGTATGTAACTATTTCAGAACAATATACCAGCATCATGTTACAAGCATAAGTTAACATTTTTATAGAAAAAAAGAATCGGTTATGATTTCGTTAATAATAATTAAAATTCTGGAACTTTAAATAAAAAAACTAGAGAAAAACTAAAAGCTATTGTACAAAATTAAAACTTGAAGTAATTTCAAAGAAAATTTAATTAAACTTTTTCAAAAAAGTTAATTCCACACAATGTTAGTTAAAAGTATGAAAAACTCAAATCTTTAAAGATTTTAATTTAAAACTTTTTCAAAATTCAATTATTTCTAAAAATTCATGCTCTAATGTTTTTAAAATTCAATTATTATATAAAATTTTAACTGACATTTATTTTAAGATCAATTTTTATTAGAAAATTCTACGGGAATTCGATCATTTAAATACAAAAATAAATCATTTGTATAGAATAACAGATTATTTTAAAAAATTTGAATTCACATAAAAAATGTTATCAACAAATTGTTAAATTACTGATAAATAATTGAATAATTGGATTATTTCGGGGATATCGATTAAAATTGTACCCGGTAAGAAGCGAGGAATTGAAAAGAATTCAGAAAAAAGTAATACTTATTTTCGATTTAAAAAAAACCTTTGTTTTCAAAGTTTAAAACAAACAGACGTTTTTTAGACATCTTAAAGAAATCTAATGGACATTTTAGTCCTAATTTACTAATTATGCAGTTTTCTTGAATTTATTACTACTTAAATTATTTTATTTCGTTGTTTGAAAAAAATGAAAATGGACCAGCACTTTGTCGGTTCGTTACAAAAGTTAAAAATTTCTGTTGTTTCCGTCATTTTGTTGTAATACTTTGAATGGAAATATATTTTCTCCAACGCCTGCTGTGAAAGGAGTACTTTTCATGTTAAAAAAGCGTGGCGAAAGTAGAACTTTTCTCAACTCCTCTGATTACTTGAATTTTTTCTAGCAAAAGCTTTACAAACCTACATTTTAAGTTTATTTAAATGATTGTAATTTATAATTTTGTAGGCCATAAGTATGAGTTCCTCTATACCAGAAAGTAATATCGGAATCAGTGATTCCGAGGCGAAAGACAAGAAGGCTTGGGTTCAATTTGATGATGAATCTGATTGTAAAGTGACTGCCTCCGAATCACAAAGCACATTAACGCAAAAGTCACCTGAAGCAGTTAAGCAAACGAAAGCTATGGGAGACGAGAATGTAGTTCGTAATTCGGTAACCGAAAACAGTTGTGATAATGTGGCTGACAAAAATAATAGTGGTGATTACAGTGGAGCTGTAATTTCCACGGAATCCGTCCAAATAAATTTAGACAGATCAGGTTTAAATCATTCCATTGGCATTGAAGATTCAAACATGTCATTTAATGCGAAAACTAACTCGTTAAAAACAATTGATTTGAGAAATCCATCTAATAATGGAAGAACTGCTTCCAACAATGCAACAAGCAATTCTTCTGGATATATTAGACAAGGGTTTGCAAATGGAGATACAATTGTAACTTTATTGCCAGTAAACACAAGATGGCCATGGGTTACACCAGCTAAATTTAAACCTGAATTAGTACCAGAGGAACTAATGGCTCAAGGACTTACGGTAATATTACTTTTATTATATTATTAAATTTTCAATTTTATTTAATAAAGTCAAGTTCGAGGCCACACCAAGATGACCGCTTTTGTTTTGTATAAAATTATAAATAGCGAACATAATTAGGTTAGGAAAATATCCTACTTTTAATCTTGCTTTTTATATTATATTGTTTTAATTCTTCTTCGCACTCGCAAATTTATATATTAAACTTAAATCTTTTCAACTTACTGCTGACAAATGAAAGTTATGCGACAATCAACTAAACGTGTGTAATGGTGTAATTTTTTCTAAGGTGTGTGACGGAGGGTTAAATTTTGAACATAATTGAATTTCTGGAATTATTTTTAACTTTTCCAAAATTTAATTTTTTTATCGTTTTTAACTAAAATTCTTGTATATAAATCCATTATTTTTAATAATTAATTAAATATATATTAAAAAAATTAGGTAACTAATTTCAGAAGAATTTGAATTATTAAATTTTTTTAAAAATTTAAGTTACATTTACAATAGTGAGACAATGTTGGCAATATTAATGCATGTTCTTGTACTGAGTAGATTATCGAAATTAATTATAGAAGTATTTTATATCGTTAACTATCCTTTTTTTGATCTTTCTATGAAGTACTATTTCTACGAAATAGTTAAAAGAACAAGTTAAATATGTATTTCAAAATAAAAGATGTAGTCGTGAAACAGCATAAGATTTGTTTTAATAAAATGATTATTGTTTTAGCTCACAGTGGAAGATTACGTGCACATAATGGAATTGTTAGTAAATGATGTAAGATTTAACATGTACAATATTTGCTACAAGCGTGTTCTTGTGTTATGGATTTTTATTGGCTTTGTGATTCTATTGGGACTTTTATTTTCTGGAGTAACAGGTCTCACTTTGTTTGGCCTTGGTGTTATGTGGTTAGTTCTGAATGCTGCTGCAATATTCCTGTGCATGTTTATTAAAATTAAATTAAATCAAAATTTAGAAAAATGTATGGCACAGGTTAACAAGCATTTGCTCCGTCATAAAATATTGCTTGGATTGGATGACAGAGGAAAAATATCTTGCCATAAAGTCAACTTGTGTTTTTTATATTTCGACAGTAGTGAATGTATAGTAAGTATCTTGCAGAATATCTTTATAAAAACAGTGTTAGAAAACTTCAATATTACAGTATATATAGTCTTTATTTTGAATTTTTATGCCCCGCACATAGTGAATGAAATACTATGAGATACTTTTCGTTAAGTATAATCATCTTTTTCGCATTTGGATATGATCTAGTAGGAATTTAATTGCTTTTTAATTAGGGGGTTAAATTAAATTAGAAAGTTGAAACCTTTAATTGCTTCTACTTTCTTAAATACCTTGTTGAAAAATTCAATCAAAACGAAAAAGTTACTATATTTTTTACGATTTAAATGTAACTTCATTTTTTAAAAAATTGTACAGTGTACCTGTGCCTCTTTTGCATGAGACACTAAATTTAGAAGATTATAGCCCTGAAAGTTTCCTAAAAGTTAAAAAAAAATAACATTAGTGCCACCTTCAGAATTTTTAGTTGCTAAATCATTATTCATCATTAGTCATGAAAAATTTATTAATGATTATTATTATTAATGATTTTACATATGTTTTTTCCCTATTTACACGAAAAAATGATTGAGGTCTCTCATATTCCCTACCTTAAGACCTTATGTCATAAGTACACATATACGGATTTAAGTAATTTTCATGTGTGGATTTAAAGTCTAAAATTTTGAAAATATGTTATGTACTATGTATTTCCATATGAAAATACATAGTTTTATTTATAGTAATTTTTCTTTTTATGGATTTGAGATGGAAAAATTTAATTTTTGTAGAATAAGCTACAAGATTTTATCGAAGCTGAAGAAAGGGATGGCAGAGCTATTGGGGAAGATGAAAGCAGTAAAGCCAGACGAGCAAAAGATATGCAGCAACGAATGGATATAGATGACTCCGATATTGTAATTCAAGGCAGTACAATAACACGACTCTCAAGAAAACAAGTAAGTTCTTTAATTAATTAATTCATCATAACCTGCAGTATTAGGATACTTTTGTTTTAAACAATGTCTACTAAAAACTATTCTAGAAAATATATGAAACATTATATGACGTAGATTTTTCAAGAGAAGAAAATAAAAAAAATATGTTTGAATTTTAAAAATGATGTTCCTATTAACAAGATTGTTTCAAATTTTTTCAATTTTTTTGGTCCAACTTTGACGACCTGCATTTTCTCATTACGTAGAAAATGACCTTTAAAATGAGCATAAGATCATTAAAAAGCGTTAATTATTTTACAAGTTATTCAAATGTTGAAATAACCCGTAATTTTTTCGTCATTCTGCTCCTCTTGAAGTAGAAAATAATAGTAATTTGATTGTTTTAATAAACAGGGAAAAAGTGAACGACTGTTTTGCCGCTACACACAAAGGTGGGCAAAAGACTACTTGCGACGCCGCTTAGACTGGACAGTAGATGAGGAAGGCGGAAATCCTTCCTCCCCAAGACATTTATCATGTGCAATATGTCCCTGTCAATATATAGAAGAGTGGCTGCGGAACAAATCTCGCATTCAAGGGCGAGATTTTTGTCCTACATGGAGCAACTTTTTCAGGGACAGAGGAATTTAAGACGACCTAGTTATTATCAACGACAAAAGGTATTTCAATTTTTCCCTTACTCCTTGATTGAATTTGTTCATAAATAATACATTTTGAACATTGAATAGGACAAATCTTTGAAATAAGAATTTATTTCACTTAAATGATTGCTAATAGTATTGATTTATTATTTTAATAATAACTTTATATATTTTTCTTATTGCAGATCTGATGTTTGTACTTAAAAGTAACCACCGTCCATGAGAATTTTATAGATTTTACAAAAGAAAAATGAATTATATACAAAAGTATGTTTTGTAAGACGTATTTTTCTAAAGCAGAGCTTTAAAGTGTCCTTTCTTCTTAATTAAAATAAAAAATAAAAACTGTATAGACACACCGCCAAAACTTATAATATAAAACACATTGCTTAAAGTAAGATACCGACTAGAAAAAACAATGTAAGTAATTCAAAAAAGTAAACATATATGTTTAAATTAATAAAAACATTATTCAAGTTTTTTAATTAATTAGAATTTCAGAGATTTTTAATTATGTGCATATTATCTTGAAATTATTACTGTTTCAAAATATTCCTGTATACTTATGTATAAAAACTTATGTACATAGAAATAAAAAGTTTTATACTTTAAATTAAGATGTTTTACTTCCGAAATATACAAAAAAAATGGTTTTTTTTAAGCTGACAAACTGGAAACAACAAAAAAAGACTTGAATATAATTTTATTTTTTTGTTTTTGTTTTTGAAAATTTAAAGTAGTCCTTTATTAAATTAAGTTTAAAGAAGAAATAACATTAAAAGTATAATTAAAAGAAATTTATATTTTATGGAATTATTTTCCTAATATACAATGAAACTAAACCTATCAATTTGTTACAATTCTTCCTTTTTTAGCAGCCTTTTTGAATTTGTTAAGTTTCTTTTCCTTCTTTCTTTTCGTTATATTCTCCTGACGCTTTTGTTGCTTCTCTTGAATGGTTTTCTGAACAGAATCTATTCTTGATTCCCATTTCTTTGCACTATGTTTCTTCTTCATTTCTTCTCGTTTAATTGATTTTTTCAAAAGTTCTGGATCATCTTTTATCTAAAGAAAAATGCAAAAAATAATTTTTATTTAATAAGTCAAGTCAAAATATTGAGCTAGCAATTCCACGTAAAACGAACAAGTAAAAATTTTAATTTTCTGGGAATGACTTAAATTTTTGGTAAAATCTTATTTCTTGAGAATTTCTAATTAAATTCATTCAAAATTGAAATTTTATAAAATTTTTAATTGAAACCGTTTGAAGTTGATCTGTTTATGAAAATTGTAAACTTGTACGCTACATAACATGCTAATGAGGGGAAGGTTATAAAAAAGGTTAAAAATAGCGTGACGTTTTTTACAAACAAACTTAGAGAATAAATTTTTTTTAAAATTAGCTGCATATCAATAATAATAATAATTCCTGTTTAAACATATGTAAATAATACCTTATCTCCTCTGGCTTTTGCCAGTACAGCGTTCCAGGCATCTTTTTCTTTAATTTCATCGGCTTTCTCAACTTCTCCAATTTCAATCAGTTCTTTAACTTTCTGCTTTTTCATTTCTATCTTCTGTAATATTTTTTTAGAATTCTTTTCATTATTTAATTTCCTTTTTGTGCCAACTTGAGAGAAATCAAATTTACTAAAAACCATATGCCCTTCAGAATTAAAAATTGGCTTTTGTTTTGGAATTTTTGAGGCTTCGACATTTTCCTCTTTAATTTTAGAGGAATTAGCAGCTATTTGTTCTGTTCTTGCAAGTTTCTTTTGTGTAAGACGCTCCTCTTTTTTCGATTTTTTCTTTATTCTACTTTTTAATCCTTTTTTTAAATTTCGATCTTTATAATCCAGCCGTCCTTTACTTTTTAATTCATTAAGTCGTGCATATAATTCTTCGAAAGTTTGGGCTCTTTTTAACTTCTTATCGCCCATCGGTGCTATAAAAAATATTGCAGAATACTTGAGCTTGTATGGTATGTATTGTTGGAGGTTAATAACATTTTTTCATAAAAACAAAACATTTGCATTACACAAATCAGAATTAGACACCGAATTTAACAAAATCAAAGGAAAAATTCAAGTAATCAAAAAATCTTTACAGAATATTAAAGAGATTTGCTTACTCTAAATCACTATTATTTTCAATTCAAGGAAGAAATAAGAAATTTTTTTGATTAATTTCTAACGAAAATCGTCTTAAAATCGATCATAGTTGAGGTTTCGCAGTCGGAATTTTTTTCTAGCTTTGTTGGGTCCCCAGTAAACAAAAAAAAACCTTAATAGTAGTGAAATTTTATCCAAGGAAGAAATTAGAAATTTTTTTGGTAAATTTCTAACGAAAAATCGTCTTAAAATCGATTAAAGTTAAAGTCTCACGGTCGAAATATTTTTTAGTTTCCTTGTGCCCCCAGCAAATTAAAAAATTGTCCACGTAGTAAATTTCAAGTGAATCCAATACATTTAAAAAAAAACGTCCGCCATATTGGATCCACCATTTTGAATTTTTAAAAACTATTATTGGAAATGTTTTTTTTTAACCTTTAAAGTGCTAAGTGTTGAAAAATCACGCTCAGTGCTAACCCCGGTCTGTCAGACCGCTATTCCCTTTTGACAGTTTTTTAGTCATTTATAATTTTTAAAAGACAACTATTATAAATATTTTTTACTTTTTAACAAAAAAAGTCATTTCTGTATTATGCATTTATTTATTTTATAAATGCAGTCTATGAGAACTGTCAGTAGAACTAGCTGCGCGTCAAGTTGCGCAGACGTCACTCATGGGAATATACTGGAATATACTTTCACTTAAAGCTAACCCCGGTCTCACAGACCGCTATACTTCAAATATTTATTTATATTACAAAATTTAACGAATAAAAATTTTTGAAAAAGTTGTCTCCTAACAGATTTTCATAAAATATGAAGCTACTAAAAAGTTCAAGTTCTTATTATACTTTGAAAAAAAGTTACAAGCAAAGAAAATTTTAATAGCGGTCTGTCAGACCGGCATAGCACTTTAAAGGCGCTAGCACAGCTCCTACTGCCTGCCTGCCTGCCTGCAGGTTGACATGGTAACACATAGGAGTAAGAGAGTAAGAAAATTCAAATTAAATGTTTTTTCTCTCTCACTCTTATGGCGCCTGCCTGCGCAGGCAGGCAGGCAGTGAGGTGAGAGTGTACCTTAAAGGTTAATCTCGTTAATCTTCTTTTGATGGATAAACTCCATTTTGTCGTCCGCCATCTTAAATTTTAAAATCGGAAAGGATATAGCTTTACAGCTAGGTTATCGAAAACGTGATATTTTGAGCTCCGGAGTTAATTTACTTTCATTTTCCATGTCAAAATTTTTTTTTGCTAAAAATCATGTTTTTTTGCAATAAAATTGTTATAAATTTTTAAGATTTTATTATAATGGTAAAGTAACAAACCTTTCTTTAAATGCTGTTCCTCATTGTTCTCGAGATCTTCGTCTTCTTTAAGACCTAAAAATTGTAAAAAGCAAAAAAAAAACACTAAATTCAATGTATCTACATGTAAATAAAAAATAGTAAAATTTTATTAGCATAAAACATTTTATTCGTGAGTAGAAAAATATTTAAACGTAGAGTATAAACTTGAAACATATTAATATCAGAGACTAATGAAATACACACTTTCCAAATTCATCTAATAATTTCTCGATTTAAAATTTTTTGTGTATCAAATTGAATAAACATTTTAGAACGCCGTTTTGAAAATTACCGTTTGAGAAAATTTTCATTGATAAATTTTAATATAATTTTTAAGAATAATTACAGTTTTCAAAGAATTCCATTTAAAATTGTATTAAAAATAATTGAAAGTCTGCGATTAGTTTTATTATTTATGAAAATAATGAAATGTTTGCGTAGAATTTTATTAAAATTGTTTTTAAATAATTGAATTCTTTTGGGTAATTTTATTAAAATAGTAGATAGGTATTAAAAATCATTAAATTGGGGAAGATTTTTGAAAATAATTAAAATTTTGCCAAGAATTTTATTAAAATTGTTGGAAATTTTTTTTCTTGAAAATTAATATTTTTATTTTTTTTTATAAATTACTATTACTACTAATATTTTAATTATTTCAGTGTTAATTAATTAGTTTTTTAAAGATCTGCATTCTGTTAGATAAACCACCTTTAATGAAATTATTTTGATTTTATTTATATAAAATTAAAAGACTCGAATAATATATATGATAAAAATCATAAACATAACCTAGAATTTTTTAAGATAAGTATCGTGAAATATCGCACGTGTTTATGAAAAAATTTCAAACTTTCTATAAGTTATATAATGTAAGTTGGATTTTATAAAAGGTTAACGTGCAATAAAAATGTTAAAATGTAAATTTTACATAAGATAAAAAAAACAAAAGGCATTTCTGCGCTGAAATTAAAAAATTTTTACCTCTTTCTACCATTGGCACACACATTTTTTCAAATACATCTGAAATGTATTTTTCTTCGTCTAACAGTATTTTTTGCACCGTTTTAAAATTAAACTTATTTGCCATTTCTAATAACATTATTTGAAATTTTAATTTAAAAGTATACTGAAATGTTCCTAAATATTTTTTGATTTGTTTATCAGATCACATAGCACGAACTAACAGAAATTAGAAAATGCACGTGTTAAGGGTGCATTAATACCTTTGTCGGAATAAATAAAGGAGGCTCTGCAATGTGACGTCAAAAGTCTCTATAATTCACTAGCCTAGGGAATTTCGTTTTAAGTAATTTATTAAGGCCTAAGCACTTCATTCAGTGATTTTAATTAATATTTTGATGTAAAAAGATTAATAAAGTAATTTTCTCCATAAAAACTTAATAATTAATTTAAATAATATATAATAATAAATAAGATACGGAAATCGTAACGTTACGTCGAACCCAGCACATACCACAGGCAGGCAGGATACAGAGGTGTGAATGCTCCTTTACGTTTGGACTCATTGTAGAACCTCCTTTACTGCATCCATATAGAAACACCTGAGTAGTATAAACCATGTTGACATGTTGTGTGTGTGTACTCGAAACAAATTGTAAATAAACAAGAAGGAATATGTATTTTATTTCACTTGCAATATTCGTTTTAAAGTTGCTTGGGACCCATGGTTTACAGGTAAAAGAAAATATTTTATTTTTTATTCATATGGTTAGGAATTGATGGACAGATTTTGTTTTGACAGATAAATAACCTCAAAACAATTTGAAGTAGTTAATGCAGAAAAATCTTGTTTTTCGAAAACTACTCATCTAATAAAGATTATTTAATCTTAATTAATTAATTTAGTTAATTGTAAAAATATTAAATATATATATCAATGAATTTCTGTCCATATAAACATTTAAATGCATCAGTTCGAAAATGCACTTTTCTCGTTTCTCCACACAGAAATCATAAAGTTTAATATGCTTTATTTTACACAAAGCCTATTTTAATCGTGTTTTTATTTATTCCATTCGAAAGTTCATCTCAAAAACTAAGTTTTTCTTGTGTTGTTTTCCAATTTTCATTGACAAATTTGTGTACAAGTAAGTAATTCTGTATCTTAATATTTTTGTAGAAAATTTTCAATTTTCATAAGAAAAAAAACAATTTTTATTTCTTAATTACAATTGTTTTAATAAAATTTAGAGTTTTTCACAAATAAAGGACAAAAATGTTTATAAATTCTATTTGTCAATTACAACTTTTTATTGAAAATGAAATTGAAAATTTTTGAATTTTTAGAAAATAAATGAAAAAGTTTACTCAAAAAAATGTTCTGTTACATTTATTTACGAATTTCTTTAATTGCAAAATTATTCAAAAACATCAATAACTTCTTTTTTAAATAAATATTTTATTATTATTGTTTTTCCATAGGAATTTGGATTTTTAAAAATTTCAAATTCAAACTTTTTTGAAATTAAACAATTTTAAAAATATTGTTATAAAACATGAAGATATCTATTACTTGGAATCGAAGATTTCTTTATTTCTTATAATAATTTAAGATGATCGAGAGATAAAATAATTATTTTATAGTATATAAGAAGAAATATTGTTACTGTAATTTTTTCAAAATTAATTTAGTATTCAATTATTATCTAAAATTTTAACCAAACTATTTAAATTGAATGTTTCTTAAAATTTCATTCTTATAAAGAATTTTATTAACAAATCTTTTTGATTTTCTTATTTGGAACAAAATGAGGGGGTGGAATGATGGACATTCGAAGAGTCCACTATTAAGGACCACCCTAAAAAAATGATATTATGTTCCAGGTGACAGAAAACTTTTCTAATACAGGGCATTCTAATAATTGGGCAGTATTAGTAGACACATCGCGTTTTTGGTTTAATTATCGCCACGTTGCCAATGTACTTTCCATATATCGCAGCGTCAAAAGGTTAGGAATTCCTGACTCTCAAATAATTCTAATGATAGCTGACGATATGGCATGCAATCCAAGAAATCCAAGACCTGCCACTGTTTTTAATAACATTAAACAACATATCAATGTTTATGGAGACGATGTAGAAGTAGACTACAGAGGCTATGAAGTGACTGTTGAAAATTTCGTGCGGCTTCTCACCGGACGTTTGTCACCAGAGACACCGAGATCGAAAAAGTTACTCACGGATGAAGGTTCAAACATCCTTATATATTTAACAGGGCATGGAGGAAACGGTTTTTTGAAGTTTCAAGATTCTGAAGAAATAACTAGTCAAGAATTAAGTGACGCTTTGGAGCAAATGTGGCAAAAAAGAAGATATCACGAAATTTTGTTTGTTGTTGACACTTGCCAAGCAAGCTCTATGTATGAGAAGTTTTATTCTCCGAATATTTTAGCAGTGGCTTCTAGTCTTGTAGGAGAGGATTCTTTATCTGTAAATATTTTTCTACATTTAAATAAATGTGTTTAAAACACGTTCACATTCAATACAGATATTTTAATTTCAGCATCACGTGGATCCAGCTATTGGAGTTTATATTATTGATAGATATACATATTATGCTCTAGATTTTCTTGAAAAAGTAGAACCTTCGAGTTCTAAAATGCTGAGTGAATTTGTAAGTATAAAGACTTTAATTTAATTATGAATTATCTTCATACTACTACAAAATGTTTTAATTATTCCTTTGTTTCTTTTACAGTTAAAAGTTTGTCCTAAACATTACTGCCTTTCCACTGTCGGCGTAAGAACAAACTTGTTCAGAAGGGATCCTGCATCCGTGCCTGTCACAGACTTTTTTGGATCACTAAGACCTGTTGAACTAACAAACAATATTATTCATGTTATTCCAGAAAATTGCAGCCAAAGAAATTATTTAGAACCTGATAGTAAATATAAATACGTTCCATTATTTCCAGATATATCGTCGTATATTTAAGAGAAATATGTAAATAGAATCAGTTTTAAATAATTATATGTATAAATTATTATTTTACCTATAAGAATAATAATTTTTGTTTGAATATATTGAATATATTAATAGGATACGAGAACTATCCCGCGATGTAACGTGCGTGTTTCGTTACTTTTATACCTCATAATAAATTGTCAGTGAGAAATTCTATAATTATGTATAATAACTATATAGTTTTTTCCCTTTATTGCAATACTAGCAAATGATACGCACGCATTCTATTTTTTATTATTTTGTAAATTAAAAAATTTTATATTTTCATAAATAATAAAATTCTTTAGAGCAATTCAATTATTTTCAATACAATTTTTATCAAATTTCTCGAAAGAATACAATATTTTAAAAAAATATTAATTAAATTCCATTATTGCAAATTTTTTATTACAAAATTAAAAATGCAAGTCTGTACTTAGTTAAACTTTATGAGTTGGACTGAAAATACTGTCATTTTATGTCACCTGATGAGACATACAATTTAAAATCAAATTTTTTTTTTTGTTTCCTGAGGACAAATTACATTAAATTAAAATATTTTAAAAATGATAATCAAAAATTTGCGCCAAAACAATTATGAAAAAAGAGGAATATTTGCTGAAATAGAGATTATAGGTACTTTTATTGTCATTTTTTCTCGTTAGATTTTTTTTATCGTTTTCAAGTTTTTCTTGAATACTTTACAAATAAAAGCAAAAACTCTGATGTTTAAAAAAAGGCACACAAATAATATTTAAAAAGTGTAATTAATAAAAAACTATACATTTTAGAAATCAATATGTCTCTGACGAAGAGTTGTGTTTGAACAGTTGTCATGGCAACGCTTCAAAACATTTATGGTGGTCAGTTTTATATCAAAACATGTGTTATTATTAAGTTTTTAATAATTTAATTTAATTTAATTATTTTGTGTTGAACAAAAATGCATGTACAATTTTACATGAAATTTATGAAATGGTGTTGATTAATCAAAAAATGAAAACTAGTAAATCTCCATTACCAACTCTATGTTTAAGTATGAGATTGCAAAGGTATAAAAAGAACTCGTATTAACTAAAATCAGATCATAATTTAAAATCTTAAATTTCATTAAAAAAAATTAGGCAACCGGAAACAAATATTTAATGTTTTTCTCCCGCATAGAGAAAGTTTTTTATTTCGTAATATATTACTATTATTTCTAAATTTTATGTTGTTTATATTTATTACACTCAATTATTACTTTATTTTAAAACTTTAATATACTAAAATTTACACATTAAAATTATTAAAGTAAACTTTCTGCATCTAAAATTGATTAAACATCAATAACCAAGTGATAAAAGTATTCCTTAAAGTTATGCGGGTATACTTAATCAATTCTTTCAGATAAAATATTAATTAAAAAGTTATTATGAACAATAAACTAAATAATCTAAGATTAATTGGATAATTGCAAATACTGAGTGGTTTTTTATTTAGAAATTAATTCTTTACATAAAATTAATAGAATTTTTTTTATGTGAAACAATTTTCAAGTCAATGCAATTTTCAAGTTTTATATTTGTAAATTTGTTGTCTAAAATGTCTAAAATATTAGATTATTTTTTTATTTAATTAATATTATTTTTTTTATTTAATATTTGATTACTTATTTAAAATTCTTAAAAACTGACTTCATATTCATATATAATTAATAATTCCGAAAAGCCTGAATTATTATGTTTTTAGTCAAATTCGATTACTTTTTACATTATTGTAATTCAACATTACATTTGATCCGCAATTTTAAATTTCTAAAAATTAACACCAAATTTGTAATTAGCAACCCAAAAATCTCCCAGTAGAGTGAGTTCTCGCGAGTCGTTCAATTCTAGAAAATTTTCAAGGCCATAAATTTCACGAGTTGTTCAACGCATAAACTTAATTTTTTGAGGTAAAGAGATGATAATAATTTCTTTACAATATATAAGACATTTGTTTTTTAGGGAAGGGAATTCTGAGCAAAGAATAAAATTTGATAAAAAGCCACAACTATCTAAAAGTGATGCATGTTTATCAAGTAACAAATGTAACAAAAAGTTACAACCGATGAAAGGTTTGTATACATTCGACATACATAGATACAATTTAATTTTTAAAAATATATAATCCTACCAGCAACACTAGTCTTCGTTTTTTTTATAAAATTAAGAAAGTCATTAAAAAGTATACTTCAAGTTCAACAATTTATTATATTATAAATGTGATTTATAAGGTTTATGATAATTGTAAGCATATATACATAAAGAACTAACTTTTAATTTCATATACATTTCAAATAAAATATTTTCTGGATTCGCCCCTGCTAGTGATCACAGTAGTTTTTTTTTTACCAAAAGATGAAGTTTTAAAGACGAGTGAAGTATTTTTGAAGAGCCCAAAAATATTAAAGCAATTTGCCTTAAAATAAAAGAAAAATGTTGAATTTTAAGAATTTTCGATTTTTGGTGCTAGTGGTCAGAGTAGTTTTTTAAGAAATGCCCATTGACCATGATCGAGATATAAATTTTTAGTAGTTTGGGACTAGGAGGAGGAAGTAATTGTGTCAGGGACTATAATGTTGATGACAATAATTTTCAAACCTTAAAGCTCCAAAATTCATTGAAACTCGTTACTCTGTGGTTTTTGGGGTCGCTGATTATCCTTGTCTATGTGTCGTGTCTCGGTTAATTAAAAATAAGAATTTTAGTAGATTTAAATCATTTTTTCTTCCCTATTCCAAAATAAGAAGTGAAATAGTGTAATAGTCAATAGTGTATAACATAATGACATTTGTATTAAAGTGTAATTTTTTATTTGTGGATGAAACAAATTTGAAAAATTAGAAAAAATTAAAATTTTCCATTGTTTAAAAACTATATGCAGTGTCAAACTTCGTGACAGAATTTGGGTGTTAATGGGATAAAAGTTACCCCAATTATTTTTTTACTGGGTTCATAAGTGAATGTCATGTCAATATGTCATGAGGTCGTTAAAGTTTTTACGATATTATTTTGAGGATCATTCTATATGGTGAATGTTATTGCTTTTAAGTTTATGTATATTATGTTTTCAGAATGTCCGTACAATCCTAGAAGTGAATATTACGTGCAGCCTAATCATTTAAGGGAAAGTACTAAGAGTTCATTTATGCAAAAAGTTGTGTCCACAAAAATGATGTGCATTAAAACTTTGCAAAATCGATTAACAGATGCTCATTATCATTTAAATGTAAGCCAAGTTTTTATACTACTGACTACAATAATGATCCAAATCACTAATCATAAGTTTCATCCATGTGGGCACATATTACTGGCACTATGTTCATGTCGCACGCGTTTGCAAATTCCGCAAATTTCTAATGTTTTCTAATGCTTTAATTTTATTATTTAATTAAACAGGCTGTAAATGTTTTATGTCTGTTTGTGTCTTTTTATGTTTCTGATGTTTTTCGTAATCAGCGACCTGAAAAACTTTGGAGTAACCAGCTTCCGTTGAAGTTCTTTGCTATTCCATTAATCTATTTTGTACCTTTTCTGTTATGTCAACAAAATTTTAGTAATTTTAATAAAAGGTGTTCAACAAAACTATTTTGCTAACATTTCAATACTATTTTTCTCAGAGTGAGAAAAAATCAGATCGGAACGGGTTTAGAAAAAAATTCTATGCACAGGCCTGAATAAAAGAATTGATTAAGATTAAATTCAGAAATATGTAATTATTGTCCATTTTGATTTGTAGGAGTTGTCCAACGAAAACAAACTTTTAAAGACGTTGCAAAGAAGACAAGATTTAGCATTAAGAAAATATGAGGGAACTAATGCAGAATTGCCTAGAATAATAAATACTCATCATGAAGAATTGAGAATACTGCAGTCTAAATATAAAAAGTTGAAATGTCAACATAGGAGTAACTGCGAATTACTGAAGCAGAAGGAAGTAAAGATTCTTTTAATTCAGGTATATCTATTATTCCGATTGATTTTTAAAATATTCGACCGCCATATCCACTATTTTGAATTCTTTACGTATTGGTAAATCATAAATAAATTTTAAATTGATGTACTTAAGACTAATAGGTAATCATCTTACATTGCACAATTTTCTACATGTTATAAAATGTACATCAAAACAAAACATAGTATACTTACCTATTACTGATATACTACTATTATAAACCTTTGTAATTTCAGGATCAAAATAAACACTTATTACAATTAAGTAAAGATCGAAATTTAGAAGAGAGAGAAAGTCTGAAATTAAAGTTATCAGATTTAAATTATAAAGTGGAACAGCAAGAGAAAACTATAGATGTAAGTTATGTTTAAGTTGAAGTAATGTCACCAGTTCATTTTTAAAATTTTTTGCATTTCTTTCTAAATTAAACTAATAATTGTACTTGATAAAAAAATAGACGTTAAATAAAAAGCTGGCTATAGAGACTAAACATTTAAAGCAACAGTTACATTTAGAGATTACCAAACACAAGGACACACAAAAGAAGTTGCAGGAAACAATCAACAGGTTGAAATCCGCTGAAGAACTTCTCGAAAACAAAGAACAGAAATTAGTATATAAAAAGCAATTAAATTTATCGCATTCAATGCAAAGTACAAGAAGAATATCTCATCTTAATTTAGAAAATAGGTAAAAGATATAAACATGTTTGTTTAATGAAAACGTATATATAGTGGAGCTATTGAGTATTTTCGGTCATTGATACTAATACTTACACAACAATTTTTATGTATTTCATACATGATTTTTCTAATTATTTGTGCTACCAGATTTACTCGATAATTTGTTTTTTTTGTGTATCAACTTTAAGAACTTTAAAATGTATTAAAATAACTGTTTTTAAGTAAAAATTTTAATGATATTAGTACTTGTGAAACAATTATAATTATGCAATTTAAATGTTTGATTATTTTAGGTTGGACAGCTCTGATGGTGAAAATGTAAACACTTCAAAAGTCTCTCTTAATGATTTAGAACACTGGAAAGACTCTTTAAACATAAGAGATATCGAAAAATTTATTGAACAGCTGAATTTATTTAAACGATTAAATGCATTGAATTCCACTTTCACTAATTCAGAATGTCCTGTAATTAAGATGATGGAATGTGATGAGGAAACAAATTTACCTTTGGAAAATTTAGGAAGCAATGAAAATAATATTGTGATACATGAGCAAGATGCTGAAACGGAGATAAAATTTTATAATAATAATGAAAATTATAGAAGAATGGATTCAGAAATTCCTTTGGATAATAGAACTGAATCTCCTAACTTAGTTGAAAGTATTGATACAAGTTTACCGAAACTAGAAAAGTTACATATAAAATACTCTATAAGTGAGGAATCAGAACCAGAAAGTTTTGGAGAAGTAAACGAGGAAATTAAAGACGAAATCATTAATACTGCACATACTGAAAACGATTTGACAGAAAATTTAAGATTTAAAAGGAAGATTACTTACGATAAGGATAGATTACTTGCAGTAATGAGGGCAATTGATGATAATGAAGTATTAAATATGTAACTACTCCTGGAAAAGAAACTTCAAGTTCAACATATAGGTAAGTGAGGCATTTTTTTGTAAACTAAACAGAAATTTTAAACATAGTATATAAGGGTTATTTGAACCTTTCGTCATTATCATAAGATTTTGTGATTTTGCAGGGAAGTCTACAACATCTGGAGAACTTTATACATTAATAGTGTGAAAAGTAAAAGAAATAAATATTTATATAATAAAAATAATTTCATTTTATGAAGGTGTGCTTATTAGTTTTTTTTAATTTTTTTAAATCCGGCAGTACATTGTTGTAAAAAATTATAATTACTTTGAAAATAAATGTCTTTTAAAGTTATTAACTTTATTTAAAAAGTGATATTGTAAAAAATATCTGCCTTGCGCTCCATTGGATACTTTCATTTATTAATAACTAGAAATCAATGAAATATTTTGAAAAACTTCAAAGGACTCTATCTAAGACGTAAAAGTCAAAAAAGCCAGGTCCAGAATGTCTAGGCAGATGCCATTTACAGCATTTACTTCTTAGTAAAAAGTATTCATGAGACGTTGCGCTGAATGATTTTTTATTACCGCGATTACTTTTCTCTTGAAACATTCGAGTTAAAGAATTCTAAAGAAAAGAAAAATTAGTTGAATGCAAATATTTTATGGTAACTATGAGAACGTTTGAAATCGAAGAACGTTTATCTGAAAAAAATTTGGTTTTATTCATTATAATTATAATTTTTGGAAGTGTTTTTTCATGTTTTATTACTTTCTTTTTTTATATTTATCATTTAAAGTAATAATGTACAATAATTCTGAATGTAGACATGAGAATTATTAAATGTGCAGTGATGAATTCCAATGATGACGAAATCCGAACTGTTGTGATCGAAGATGCGGAAAGTCGAACGTTGTTGATGAATAAAAATGATATTCTTATTTGAAGGAAAAAATTGAAAAATGATAAGCATTTAAATTATAATACTTCTGTTCCCTCATCATAAACGTGGTTGTTTATTAGGAATTAGTCTGATGTAAAAACATGAATTTACAAAATTGACAAGTATTACTCAGAAGACAAAATTCTCACACTGTATTAATAGGACAAAATTATTCTATGGACAAGTCAGTTCATTTCGCTGAACACCAACTAAATGTCACATAAAGTGTTTAAGGCTATAACCTCTTTGTATATATGCCGACTTTTTATAAGGAAAAGATATATACCATGAAAGGGTAAAGTTCTTTAATTTTTGGAACTCTGCAATTGATTAAAAAATACAAATTACTTTTTCATAACTTGTTACAATTATATGAAGAGAAAAAGCAGTCGCCGAAGTGTAAGGTCAATATTAATAAAATATTTTGAGTTTTATTTATATTTTGGTCATTCCTGTGATCGAAATTTTCATTTTGATATTTTACGACATATATTAAACATTATTTTTAATCTAGCGAATTTTATACACGACATTTTAACATTCGTGTGTTAAATTATCATCCATCATTATTAACATTATATTAACAATGTGTTATATTTTTAGTTGGAAGAGAATATAAATTAACCTCGACTTACAGAAATCGACCATTTTTCCTATCTGTAGTTTTATGAATAATTTATTAGTTATACGCTTTATAAATAAATTGATGAAATAATTTTTAAAACATGTAGATTAAAGTGAAGGATTTTCTTTTTGTCCTGATAGTAGATGTAATGTCGAACGCTAGAGAACCTTAAACCTACCTCTGCACACTACGTAGTGGAGAATTTGAGGTGTTAAGTGTTATGCGCGCGTTATGACTTTTTCGATGAATCCACAATGTACGTTGTAAAATTGTCTTCTGGTAGTATCTTTAGATATAATTGGATTTTTAACAATATACCTTTTGAACGAATGAACGTAAATAAGCGCAAGTTTAAAAAAGTTACTATGCGCTCCTCGGAACTTTATTCGAACTTATCTTCAGTATACATGTACATTTTTTTTTAAATTCATAATAAAAAATTGAAAATGAAAATATTAAAAAACAGTTTGTTTTTGTTTATCACAAACATATTATGTTTTTCTCATTTCAATTTATTTAAGGGCTTGTATATACTTGTGCACTTAAAAAATGTTAATATTACATAGTTGAACAACATTTCAAAAATATTTATAAATTTCTAGTCAACCATAGTAAAATTCAAGATGTGAATTCAGAAAATAAATTGATTAACAGTAATCAACAATTAAATGTTGCAAAATATGAGATATTCTATTAATCCTTGAGGTATCTTCGGGGTAGAATATGAAGGAGCAAGTGCACAATATATGTGGTACAAATTTTAGAATGTCATTCTTCCGTTTTTGAGCCAAACATTTTATGTCATAAATATATCATATAGACAAAAAGACGACTCCATAGTGCCCACTAGGTTATTGGCTCAATGAAGACTTTTTAAAAACTTGATAATACCCTAAAGAGACAAAGCGACCTATTTTGGAATCTTGGAATCATCAGTATATCGGATTCATACAATTAATTTTAATTTTGTTTCTACAATAGTCACATTTATTCTTAATAGATCTCTATATTCATTGATTATTTTTAAATTTTCTAGATATAAAATGCAAACATGTAAAAACTGTAATGTTTATGATAGTTCCTTTTAATGGTTGCAAAGTCAATAAGCTAATAGAATATGGGCGTTAGAATTATGTGTATGGTTCTACTTATCAGAATTCTTGTATTTTTACTGAATATCACCTTGGATCTGTTTTATTAATTTTTCGTACAATATTACAAACAAATTTTATAATATTATTCACAAATTAAGTATTAAGAATTTGTTACTCATAAACTTTAAATTCTGAATCAGCGACCCTGAAAACCCCCTACAGTGTATACTTGGTTATTAAATTCCTTGACTAGAAAAATGTATGCTTCAAAGGGTTAAAAATTTTCTTAAAAATTTAAAAATAATTTCTGTAATCCCAACTAATATCGAACATTATTTTTCTTTTTAATAAAATAAATAAAGTAAAAAATACTTTCTTCCTTTACTGAGGCAAAGCATAAAAGATTTAAGCCATATATTGTTTATAATTAGTTTTCTTTCATAAATTATATAAACTAACAAATGTTTAATATTTAACTGAAGGGGTTTATTCTGTAATTTAAAAGTAATTTAAAAAATAATTAATAAATATCTTGAATATCCGTGGATGCTGTTAGGGTCAACTATATTAGTCCCTGTTTTAATAATTTATTATTATTTAATGGTTTCTTAACTTCGTAACTAAAGAATACTACACTGTAAAAAATTTAGGGAGTTAACGGACTCGGGAGTTGGGAGTTAAATTTTTCGAGTTAAAAATCAACTCCAAAAGAGAGTTAATTTCTAACTCCCCTCATTCAACACCCGCGCGAGTTATTTTTTCCTTGGGGAGTTAGCATTTGGGTGTGAAATTTTAACTCTCTTTATTTAACTCCCCTGGCATTAACTCCCCAATGGGTGCGACTTTTATAGACCCCCCCGGGGAGTTAAAATTTAACTCCCTTTTTTTACAATGTAAAGTCGCAGTACAAGCAAATTTCAACTGTCATGAAATTCCCGGTTCTATTTGAAATCGATATTTTATTCTGCATGAAAATAGATGAATGTTTTAAGTGCAAATCTCTTTGTCAGCCTTTTGTTCATAACTGTATAAAAAATTTAATATTTTTGTAAAATCGGTTTGCAGAATTCCGAATGAAGTTAATTAATTACCTAACAGGATTAATTATTGAAAGAATCGGATTTTTAACTCTGAATGAATAGCAACGAATTTTAAAGAAGAAACTTATAGAATGTTATTGAAATGCTTTTGTTTCAATAGTGGTTTTGCTTTCCTTGTTGTAATGTTGTTGTAACTATATATAAGCCCTTAAGTAATGAAAGTAGAGAGAAAAATTGAAATTATAATTAATTTTGTATTATAGTAGTCAATGAACAATAATAGTGTCTTTTTAAATGAAACTTATTGTGTCAGAATAATTATAAAGAAACTTCTGTGAAATAACATTTAAGGTAAATTTATCTGACTTATACTTATAGAGCTCTTTACCTGGAATTTATTTTTCAAAAGTTAATTAGAGTGATTACTTAAAAAATGTATTACATAATTGTTGAAAAAATTACTTTAAGAATTATTTGCAAATAGTTTAAAGAACAAAATAATGTCGGATAGCGTTCCAATATTCTTCTTACGAATTAGAAAATTCATTCATTACTATTTATCAATTATTTGCAATTTACACGCTTACACACAAAAATTTATTCACTTAATTAAAGAGTATTAAAAATTATCGCGCATGTATTTCTATATACCCATAGATTACATGCATAAATACTCCGATTTCGATTGGCAGTATGTAACAGGTTTCAGTATCTTGAGTCAGTTATTTAGATCAATCTCAGGTGCATTTTTAGTATAAATAATTGCAAATTTTCTCATACACTTTGTTTCCGAGGTGAAATAGAAACCTGTGAATATTATTATATTCAAAAATGCCAGTTGCAGTATAATTTCGTCATTGTCTTATTAAATAATGTGAAATGAGTAAATACAAACGAGTATTTAAAATATAAAATCGGCAATACATTTACATTAACGTATTATACGATGGAATTATTTTTATTTTACGGGATATTTCCAATAAACATCTTGATTGTATCTCTGATTTTCATCAAACGAATCAGAGATTTGATTGGCACTTTCATTTCAGGTTTTCTTAAACTTCCAGTTACAATTATTTTCGATTTTAGAAAAATTGTAATTTAGATATTTTTATTATTAATTTAATAGTTTCTGTTTCATCTCTTTGAAATTATAATAATACTTGATGAAATTTACATCATACTTGAATGATTTTGATTATCTTCCCACATTTCTGTCTTCTTGGTTCGTTATTCGTTATGTACTGTACTCTAAATCTGAATGAGTGGTGACTTTATACTGATTTTTCTTTTATGAAACAGTGAAAACCACTGCATTAAAGAAAACTAGTTCAATTAATATTGAAATCAGTGGTGATATTTCCACTTATTTAAATTTAGAGTGTAGATTTTAAATGACATCTTTTTTAAATTTTTCTAGTAATTTCATGTGAAACGTAGAAAAATGCCGATAAAGTTTGTCATCGCAACATAATAATATAATACCAGATTCTACTTTGTGTTTGTAATTACATTTGTCGTTATTTTCATAAATATAAAGTAAATTGGAATACAGCAAAATATATTAAGTAATAACCAGATTTAACATATTTTTTCAAATTATAATTTTTTACACAGAATGTTATTAGCGAATTGTATTTTTAAATAATTCCGTTAAAGTTGTTTATACAACTATTAAATTATCATCTTTTTAAAGAAATTTTGAATTTATTTTACAATAACTTATTAGATAAATTTTGGTTATTAATTAATCGATCATACTGTATGCACATATACGTTTTTTCATTATAAAATATTTTGCACTGAATAAATTTAAGATTTCACTAATTCATCAGACTCTGAATATGCAATAATTTTAGTTTTTATTTTGTTCTCTTCTAGCGCGGAACATTTATTAGAAATTAAATTAAATTCGATTTTTAGTACAAACGTTTTGTACAACAAAGTATTGAGCTGTTGTAGAATTTCGGCATACTGTTATAGTTTTTTTGTAAGTCGGTCAACTTCTTGTTTATTTATTTTTTTTATTTATTTATTATACAATCATTCAAGAAGAATTTGAAAACTTTGTGATGTGATCCAACAAATTATTTGAATGTGATTCAGATAAATATTTAGGGCTTACACCACAGTAGAATTAAACTAAATTTATTTTTCATTTTGAATGATACTTTTCAAAAATTAAACTAAGATATACTTAATTAGTTTTGCATGAATAATTTATTTACAAATATGTTATTAAAAATGTAAATTAAACTCTCTATGAACCTCTTTAAAGAAATTTTGTGTATATAATAAATGTATTGAAACTCAAAATAATACACAATTACCGGTGGTAATTGTGGGACCCCTACTTTTTTGATTACTATATTCAATAACTTTTAACTTGAAAAATATAATAAATAACAATTTTTTCTTTTTATTTTCAATAAAGGCATAAAATTCTGGAAAAATGATACCTTAACAACAAAAAAATATATATTTTCATTTTTCAATAAGATATTTAAAAAAACTTTACTAATTTTTGATTAGCATCTTAATAGTAATTATAATTTTTCCAATTTTTTTAACACATCTTTAATCACTTGCACTTTCTAAAGGAATATACGCAGATAGTTAAAAGTTATTTAATAATAATTAAAAATTAGGTGTCACACAATTACCGTCGTCGGTGGTATATATTTTGAATTAAAATTTAAATAAGAGTGCAGTCCTATGTGAGCAGAATACGTCGACCAAAAGCATAAAATCATGAGAGTTAACGGTTAACGTTAACGTGTTCTGCTCACATGGGATCGCACCCTAAGTCCCAAGCCGCATGTAATATGCTGCATGGTAATATTACATTTTATATTACTTTAAAATTTAACGTAATATTTCACAAAATATCAATGAATATTCACAAAATATTAGGTACTTGAAGGAATTGAGGAACTTTTTTTTAAAAAGCAAGCAAGGGGAAATACCAATGATATCAGAATTTATAAATTTTACAAAAAAGTTAATAATCAGAGTTGACCTATAAATGTGCGACGCTCTCCGAAGAAAGGTACCTAAGAATAAAAAAACTTTAGATTATGTTTATAATTTTCGGAAAAGAAAATACACAAAGGCCCAGTAAAAAAAAACTAATTCAAATGAATTGAAACGAATTAACATTTTTGGTAGGCTCCAATTCGTATTTGTCACAAAGCGGGATTCACTCAAGCTCTTTGTATATTCAATTGAATTTAATTCAATATGTACCAATTTGTCCAAACGAATTCGCATTCGAAAGAAATGGCCAAGGAATGCATTGAATTCGTGCTAACGAATTGAAAAAAATTAAAGGCTCAAAACTTGTCCAGTGAATTGGTACGGATAGAAGGTTCGGAAGTTCAATACAGTTTCACGAATTCAGGAAAATTGCATCATGGCTCCAATTCGTATTTGTCACAAAGCGGGATTCACGAAAGCTCTTTGTGAATTCTTTTTAATTCATTTCAATTAGTTTTCGTTTACTGGGGGGAGTTAACTCTCAATATTTATTTACATCTAAAATGATTAATAAAAACTGATTTTAGTTAACACAAACATAACTTTTCGAAGGTTCTTTACTTTTTAGATACCTTTATTCGGAGTGCGTCAAAAATATTACTTCAATATCAACGTATAATATTACAATGCAGCAGACATTTTGATATTGGAATGAAATCAATGTAATATTACGAATATTCAAAGTAATATTATAGTTATATAACAAAGTAATATTACGTGCTGCTTAGGGCCCTCTTGTTCGTTTACTGTAAAGGCCGCGTCGAAGTGAGTGTATTGCAGAATTTATGCAACACAAACTTATTCTCCTTAACAAAAACAAAGAAAAAAAGAAAAAAATCTTTACTTTATTCTCCTTATACTATTTTACAAATATGACACAACTTCTTTTACAGAATTTAACACACTGTATTGCTCAGTAAACCAAAATTATGATTTTTATTTTAAATGTATTATTGCCTATCTTACCATTCAATATTGTGTCTTGTTCCGTACAAGAAGTTGTGTTATTTGTGTATACATACTGACAATGAGTAAATAAAAATTCTAAGTAAATAAAGTTTTATCAAACAACTTCTTCTCCAAATAGTCCTTATTTTCTGCATTCAATAAATTTCAATTTATTTCAATAAATAATAATGTAAAAATCACTAACTTACCAAACTCGTACAAATAATATGATTTATGGTAAATCAGTCAATAACACATAATATACTCTGCTGTGGCGTAACCTCTTAATAAAATGAAATAATTTTAAGAAATGTTTAAGTAAAACAATAAAATTTTTAATTTTTTAAAGTATAATTGGGTTGCAACATTAGCGAAATTCACATTGACGAATCCCGCATCAAAGGTAATTAATTTTTTTCAATCCCCGTATATTTGTGTAAGTCCACATGAAAAAGGTATACTTTGGCAGTATTGGACTTATCTGATGATCATATTCTTGATTAAATTTCTAGCAATTTGAAGAGGTCATAGACCCCTCTTAAAAAAAGTAAAAAAATTGCAACGTTATAGAATATCTGAACCATTTTTAGAAAATTGCGATTATTTCCTAAAATAAATTTGACAAAGTGGTCCCTTTTCATGCCAACGTAAAAATTCAATTTAATTTTACATATGTATTTGTCCAAGCAGCATTCGTCATTGTGCAGCCTAAAAAGTGGAAAATACTCCGACAATTCGTCAGTGTTAGAACCCGACTATATCAATATTATTTTAAATATTCCTCTTATTACATTATTTGAAATAGAAAGCAAGTTTACGCAATTTTATGGAATATTTTAGCAGTGTTCTAAAATACAATATGTAGATACAAATATTTTACAATATTGTGAAACTTTTATCGCTTATATACCCAGATCAGAACCATTTTTCCAATTGATACTTATTACCTTAAGAAAACAAAAACTATTTATATTTATGTAAAAGCTCTCATGTTTAAGACATTTTGTTACAATAATTGACAGAATGTCAACATCATAAAATACGAATACTTAATACGGCCACATTTGATTGGGTTTAAATATTGAGCATCTCAACTTGTCAAGAGTTCATCAGACACTCAAACTCAACTCTTATTCAACCATTGTGATTTATAGTTTTCATTAACTAAAATAAAAAAAAAAAAATGTCAAATGTGATTATGATTCTAAATTTACATATACCCTCTATTTTCTGTTCTTTATGAAAAATAAAATTATTTCGTTAACAAGAAAACAAGGTCAAATAAAAAGAAAATTACGTTGAATCATTTTGTTTCGCAGAATTGAAATACAATAGACTGAAATTTTATTCCCAGTTTCTTTAATTTGAGAAGAAGATAATTAATCATAACAATTTCATTAGTATTAGTATTAGGATTGATATTTTTTCGCGGTTAACATATTGAAGACGTCGTATAAAAAATTAAGAATACTGAAGACCTTGTACTGAGTACCTTGAGAGCTTCTGCGCATATACTAAGCTGCTAATGCAAAGTAATTTTAAGTTCATTTATTAAAAGTTCCGGTTTCTTGGGAGCCATTTGATTATTTTATTGACGATATTGTACAATGTCTATACAAAAAATTTGTATTACCTCTCAAGCCATTTAAGAACGAGTAAGTTAATTAAGTATCTGACACAAGAACATTAAAATTAAAATAAATATATAACACTGGATTTTTTACACGCGTCGAGACAATATTAAATAATATAATTTGAGAACACTTGCTGATATCACTTGAATATGAAACATTCTGATTAACAATTTAAACTTCACGAAAAGATTTCGTAACCATGTTTTTTGACTAGCAGCTTTTGTAACAGTACCGATTAGAAAGGTTCAGTCTTGCGACATTTTGTTGTCGGGAAATTGTCTTTCTGATTTTTCCACGTCCCGACTAATGAATTATCATTTAAAAAGTAGGCAGTTCTCTCAAGCGCCAACTGAGAGGCCTTTTGAATGCTTTTTGTCACCGGACCAGTGTCTCGGTTTCCACATTGGCTAGCACCAGTCATCTTCGTCACTGTCTGAGTGCTTGGATCTTGTTGTTCTTTGTTTCGTTTGAACGGGTTGGGGTTTATAACCGTTGGGAACAGGACTCGGTAGCATGCGTCCTCCGCGACCCATTGCTACTGCCTGCTCAAAACTAAGGGGACCGTGACTATGTGAAGCATTTGAATTTGAAACATGCTGTGATCCCGTCACATGGATTACGTGGGGCCCATGAGTGGGTGAGGCATTTAGTTTAGGAAAGTTTATGTTTGAAGGCTTCAGTTGGAGGGTCGAGGGTTTGTTTGGAGTTGGCGGTAGTCTTCGTCCCTGACCTCTTCGCACGACAAGCACAGGGTAACTATGCTGATGGGGGTGATGATAGTGATGATGAGGATGTCCAGGCGTTCTGTCTTCAATTGGACTGGGACTTCGGGAACGTTGATCTAGACTTGTAGTACCATAAGGATAATCGTAGTCGGTAGGGTGCACTGGACTAGGAGACCTTGCAGGACTTGTAGATGCACTCCATGGACCTGATGAAATAGAAAAATTATACAACTCTGTTTTCATAAAAGTTCATTTAAACAATAACCATATTTTATTTAATTATATTATTTACCTCTAATTTTGTGTCGATGATTATGTTGAGATGGATGCGGTTGATGAGTTTGCCTCTGAATTTCTACAACGTTGTTTACAGTATCACTGAAGTGCTGCATATTACTATGATGATCATATATATGTCTCCGAGATGGTGATGGTGACCTGTGGAAAATCGGCGAATTTCTCCTAAAAATATTTTCAATATACTTATGTAGAACAAATTATTCTTTCAGTAAACATATTTTAAACAAATATGTTTTGTAATAGAATAGTTATATTAGTTTAAAAATAATAAATAGTATCATTAGACACGTCAATACTATCTCTCACTTTTTCAATTACTTTTTAGATGAACTAATAATTCAGGAGATTGTACCGAACGAAATATTCATCTACCTATTCCTACAGGTGCACTATAGGAATCTATAATGAATCCTTTAAGAAAAGATATATATTTTTCCAGAAGGAATGAATTCCTAATGCTCCATACATTGAAGATGGGATAATGGAAATTGGATAGTTTGATGGAGTTAGAGGCTAGGCCTAGGTTATAGATTATACAGACTGAATCCATTTCAAATCAGGCAAGTTGACTAACTTCAAGTTATAGATTTATCTGTCGCTAAAATATAGTTGGTCTTGTCCTGCTCTTCAAAATCTCGTTTGAAATTTGAAAAAAGCTGTAAAATTAATAAAATAGAGGATGATTTTCTGAAAATAAACAAGATCAATTTTCTCGCAAACACCACCTTTTTATGATTGAAACAAATTTCAAACGGGATTTTGAAGAGGACAAGACCATCTACAAGACCCAAGAATCATTGAAGAGCAATAATTTACAAAAGGTCGAAGAGTTTTAGTTTTATTATTCATCTTCTTATTATACTACTTTTCAAAATCTTGTAATAATTATTAATAGAAATTCATTTTCTACCTTAAACTCGGAGATCTAGAATGATGTGATGGATGCGTTGAATGGTGGAGATGTCTTTCGCCGGGATGAGTTAGACTTTCGAGACTGCCCCCGCGTGAATCACTAATTATCATATTCTGCAAATCCATCTAAATTAAGAAATAAGTGAAAAAATAAATATTAAAATAGTAAAAAAAGAATTAGAAAAATAATTTAAAAATTTCTATGTTTTCCGCTGTCAATGTATTCTTATTCTAATTATAACTTTGTATATTACATATTTTTATAAATAATTTTTTTTAATTATGTAAATGATTTTGGTACAGCCTTTTGCCTCAGGTAGGATATTATTGACTTTATTAAATTGTTAGTATAAGAAATGATTAAAATTTTTGAATCATAATTATTATACCATCACTTGATAAATACGTCACTTTCGCATGTATATATGGTAGAAGTGTTAAAATTATTTTTAAAGCTGTAGGGATAGTAAAATTGTTAATACTTTGATTAGTTTCAAAATGAAAGCCGGGTTTGAAAATCTTACCTTTAATTTAATACCAAAAAGATAAATCATAATTGGTATTCAAAATATGATTTCTAAATAAGTTTTAAATTTTTCATGAAATTTTCTTACTGTTGCAGATCAAAATGAACCAATGTTAAACTTCATAAAACGTCGCAACATTTACAAAGTTTACTTTTGTTGCAACTCAAACTGTCAAGTCACTTTTCCTACTCATTTTGAGTTCTATTTTTTATGTGTATAAATCTGATCTAGAAAATCCTAAAAAAATCAAATCTAAGTAACACTAATTCTATCATTTTACTTTATTCACTTTTGCGGCTATTTCTAAAATAGGCTTCTTATGTCAGCATAACATAACGAAAGACAATAGAGTTCTTAAGAACATATGTAGTATTTGCTATGTTATGTTGACATATGACAACTGTGGAGACAGCCTGATAAATCATAAAGCTGTTGACGTCGAACTTTTTAAAAGTAATGTGATAATTTGGTTACCTTTTGAGAAGCCTATTGAAAGTGAAAAAAAACTATTGTCTAAGGTTTTTGAATATTTTTTGAAACTATTGATAAGGGAAATAGTAGTCATCATTGAAGTGTGTTTTCTTTAGTCATAAACTTTATTGTTTATGATTAATAAAGTTAGTACAATTGTTTAATTTAAGTGTCTTTGTTACCCCTATTTTTCCACCTCTTAAAATATTTTTGACAATGTAATAATTCTATTAATCGTTTGATCAATTAGTATGAAAACGTATTTCCGTCAAGTAATACAGGTAATAGTGTTTACATTGTAATCGGTAAGAGAAAACAAACGAGTATCGACATACAAACAAAATTATTAATTTTGGACAAAGTATACATAATAAAACTTTGATAAAATCACAAATTGGGTTAAATTTAGCATTCCAAAATCTATGCTTTCTAAAATTTTTTAAAATGAAAATAAATTCAACCCATCAAGTTGTCATGGGATGTAGTTTTTGCTGAAGCGATTTTGAAAAAGCTTGAAAACGTACAAATAATACAGATAATGAAGAAGAAGAAGTCGTTACTGACGTAAGCAAAGTTCCTGAAGAATGACAGTATCTGCAGTCAATTAATGGGGTAAGAAAGTGTTAGCCGAAACGAAAACAGCAAAATTTTATGTCATAAAGGATGGTACAAAAATTTATTGGACAAAGAAACTGCTATATGATTAGGAGATTTGAAAATAGGATTAAATGTAAACACAATTTGTGAAGAAACATTATCCAAAATTCAAAGATGTTAAAATAATGTCCCCATTGATGAATCAGTCACTCCAGTCTGCCAGCCATATCGGAGAACACCAATACATTTGGAATTAAAAATCGAGAAGAAATTATATGAATTAATTAAAGCAGATCTTATTGAACCAGTAAAAGGACCAGTGACCACAAGCTATGAAGTCTAGACTGTGCACAAAGCTGTGGTGGCCAAAAATTAAAAGAGTCACAGAAAATTATGTAAAAGCTAGTACTATCTTGTTTCAACACCAAACCCTCCAAACCTTACGACTAGTATTACGCCATAAATATTTTATCTACTTCAGAACATCTGTATTTTAGGTCTGTATTGATAAATTTATGTTATCTGAAAAATTGAATGATTTAAACATTTATCGAATGTTTTCTTCTTTAAGTCACATTTTTTAAATCGGCACCCAAAATTTATTGAAAACTACTACACCGATTTCCTTTAAATTTTTTGTAATTAGTCTGTACGTATATGATCATCCAGTATTTTTAGTAGGGTCAGGTGTTTTGTTCCTAAGTTTCTCACAGGGAAGATACGAAAATACTAATTCAATGATGACTGCTTTCTTATCCAAGAAGAGAAAGTATATCTTGTTATAGCTTAATTACCTTACCACATCGAGTTGATGGTATCATTTTAGTTTTTAACAAAGATTATACTTATTTCTTATTTGATAAAGGAAATAAATCTAAATAAAAGCTAATTGGTAAAACACATCTTTTATTTTGTCGAAATATTAATTAAAGTTTTATCTATAATCAAAAAAAAATTTCAAATTGGAAATTTACCCCTTTTTTCAAACGCTATATTCTGGGACATTAATACTAATATTAAAGGTAACAATCAATTTCTCGGAGGTGCAAAACATCTTACTCTTTTTTGATTGAAAAAAACCTGAAAAATATTTGGAGTAAAATTTTTTATCAGCAAGAAAAAATTGCAGAAATTCTATCGAATAAAACTATTTTTGAAAATCGTGCAATTAACTCAATCTAAAATGCTTAATGTTCGGAGTTGCGATACTTAAGTAATTTTAAGTGTTAGTTTACAAAGTTTTTAGGAAGAAAAAATTGCAGCAAAAGGAGATTTATAAAAAAATAATTTTAAAATCAAACAACTGAAGATTTATCTTCGTAACAACCGTTACGAGATAAATTTCTGAGTTCTAAAAAGTAAAATTAGGCAAAATAATTTATTATACCATGCACATGCAATATTTTTTACAATCACAAAATTAATAAATCTTTGTATTTGTATTCTTATAACCTTAAGAGATATTTAAAAATAAATACCTATCAAGTTTAAATTTAGTAACTAATATTCTCTATTTCAAACATACTTATAAATTAGATAAGTTTATGAGATATAAAGTTTATAAAAAATGTCAAAATATGAAATTTAGATTGCTTTAAAACGACACATAAATGTTTTTATGCAGAATTTTGCAGGTATTAAAATACCTACAGAATTTAAGGCATTCTCTGAAAAAACTATCTTTATGTGTCTTTTAATTTATTTAAAGTTCTCTTAAAGGGGGTTTCTCATGAAAAAATCAATATTTTTGCATAAATTGCATCATGTTTTTTTCGGTAGAAAAACTTCAGAGAAAATGAGGAAAACAATTTACTTAAAGCTTTTTGCATGTTGTTAGGCACACCTACCTTCAAGTATCTTTAAGTACCTTTAAGTAAGAAAAATCGTCGCTCTTTCCAGATTTTAATTCAAAAGCTCACCATTTTTTTTATTTTTTGTTAAAATACTTCAATTTTAATAAGCAAAAAGGTTTACATTAATACTTATAAAAATAAAAACCGACTTTTTCATGAGAAATCCCCCTTAAGCATTTCTTATTTCACCAGCTTTTTACCCATGAAAGCGTTTTTTGGAATAGCTACATTTGTGGTTATCAAAATTACTTTCAAAAGATGAATTGAAACCCCGCAACTATTCTATTGAAATTCAAATGAAAATTTCTATCAGAATTTCTTGGAAATTCCTAGAGAATCTCTAATTAATCTCTAATTAACTATTAAGGTTACAATTATTCTAATGCTGGTTCTTGATTTTTTATATAAGGTATTATCTTTTTTTATAAATGGATTTTTGAATGACAAAGAAGTCCTGAAAAGCAAAAAGAATTAAATTTACGTCTCACTCTTTTGTTTTAATTTTAATACGAGATTCTTTTTATTAAGAAAATGACTCAAACATTTGTATTTAACTTGGGTGATTATGATGATTTAAGTGATTATGATTTTGACACAAAATAAACATTTTTCTCACTATCTTATGAGTATGACCATATTAGAGAATTCAAAGCTGTAGACAGATCCGCTGCTTGCTTTAGGTGCAGAGAAACTGACTACACTCCAACATATTATAAGAAAGGTATGATAAAATTCAAAGTTTAATAATAATAAAAATGATGTCCTAATGTAGTGAACCTTACTGCTTTGTTGATAATATTTTCGCTGAAAATAGCAGTTCAGAGTTAGTTCTGCTAGCAATATCTTTACCTCAGAATGCAATTTATTTCTACTTAACACTAAATTACTCTCAAACCCTCCAACTACCTGACTATTCTCTTCGTCGTTCTCTAGCTTATTATATTGCTGGAAAAACTGCCAGTTCACCTTTTTGTTCCTGAAACAAAAATATACATTATAATTTTCGATATTGCACAATATTTAAATTTTATTTTTATAGTATTAAATACATTGTAACTTTCTGAAAAGCTTAAAACACCTTATAAAGGTTTCAAAAAGTTGGAAAAAATGTTTCCCTTAAAATATGTGTGATGAGGTTGAAAATATTTAAAAGTTTAAATAAAATGTTCTATCCTTCAGGATTGTTTAAGGCTCAGTCCCTACTACAAATCAGGAGATTTGCCGATTACAAAAATATTTAAAATAAGAAGAAATTATTTTTTTTTTAAATTACGATTGCTGAATGGCTGATGGACTTGATACTTCTTATAACTTGAAATAAAATGTTCTATCCATCAGGATTGCGTGAGGCTCACTCCCTACTACAAATAAAAAAATTAAAAGTCTGGAGTAGTGTCAGAGTAAATAGTAATAAATTTAAGAATATTCATTGACCTCCTCCCGTCTATGAAACTAACGGAGGCGATTCATTGGTCGATCTTGGCCATCTGGTTGTTCCCTGTTTAGGCTCGATTGTTCCTCGATAGGGGACAACCAAAACAGCATGACAAAATGAGCGAATGTAAAAACAAGGAGTACCTGCGGGTAATGCTTCGGCTGAATCCCTCGCTGGTTCCGACCCTGAAGTGCCTGGCGCGGAGGCGGTGGTCCATGGATGATGCAGGAGGACAACAATACCATGGTGGTACCAAGAATTATCTTGGACATAATAGATAGACGAGGAAGTACGTGCAGTGTAACAAGCTGCCAGCTGCATTTCTGTCTTCAGCAACACATCTGAGCTTGACATGGCAAGCAGCAACGAGGACAAGGACAAATGCATTAAACTGCGAGAAGAGGAGGCAGTATGCATTGATATCATTGATTCATTGCAGAAGAGATCTGCAAGATACTAAAGACCTGCGAGGTGCAGAAGAACGTCAATATGACGAAAAGTCTAGAATCGCTCATTCAGGAAGTCTGGGAAAAGTATAACAAAGCGAAAAAGACAGACGAACGTCTTTACCAAGGTTTAGTCTGGGCAGTAGAGGCACGACAAGACCGTAGACGCAGAAGAGACATACATGTTCAACGCAATTGCGTTGAAGAACGTTGTTTGTTATTGCGTCTCAGAAAAGGAGATTGAGCAGTCTTGAAACGGCGACATTACGACGAAAATTAATTTAAAATTATCAAATTTAGCAAAAATTTCAACGGAAGAGCAACTTTAATTTATAGAAATGGCTAAAGATCATTTATGAAATTTAAGGGAACAACGCGAATTTCATAACCATTACCGCGAAAAAGCAAAGAATGGGAGTCAATATTGGTTATTAGTAATTTCGTTTGACTATGCCCAAAAGGTCGCTTATTCAAGTAGTCCACAACAAGTCGGTTCGTCTTTTGTTAAGTCTAATCGGAAATGTGGCCTATTTGGCATAAACAATGAGGCAACACACATTCAAACGAATATTACAATGGATGAAGAAGATAATACATGCAAAGGTGCAAATGCAGTTATCAGCATTAGTTCACATTAGTGAAAAAATTGTCCGTTTTGCTAATAACTGCACTAGACAAAATAAAAATAATGCGCTTCTTTATTACCTTCTTTGGAAAGTAATGAATAAATTTAATGCGTCTATTGAATTAAATTTTTTGCTGACAGGGCACACAAAGTTCTCCCCTGACTGAAACTTTAGAATAATAAAATCTAAATTTTCATAAGCGATCGATGAATGCCATGAAGATTTTCTGGAAGTAATAAAAACATCTTCTCCGAACAACTTCAACATCGCTGTACATAGCAAAAATTCACAATATTACTTGGGCTCTATGGGATAAATATTTGCTGCAAAATTCTTTTAATACATTCCAAATTTAACGAAATTTCATCACTTTGAATTTCACCAAAATGGTTCAATAAAAGAAAAGATTTTTGCAAATTCCCCACAACAGGAAATCCGCAAAAAAGCATCACTAGCAACATAAATTTCAAAGTTACCATTAATAGAACCTGAGGGAGTATCAGCGCAAAGGGCCTGGTCTTTGTTTAAAGAAATTAGACAACTTTGTTTTAAAGAGGAATGTAAAGATCTTGTTGCTCCAGAGCCAAAAAATAGGCTTGAACCGAAATATTTTATTTGAGCATAATGTTGTTTTCATCGTATTATAATTTAATATTGACTAATTATTCATTTGAAAATTATAGTATAAATTTTATTATAATTTCTCGTGTAAAATAGTTATTTTTCGTCTAACTTAATTTTTCTTGGAAAGTGATAGATTTGCAAAATTATTTTCATTATAATTGTAAACATTTAAATTAGCACTAACGAGAAATCGTAATTAGAAATTTCTGTAAGTAACAACCTTCCTTTTTAATCTTCTTACCTGCTTGAGGGTGCAATGGATTCCATAATACAGAGTTTTCATTATTTGTGCAATTGGTATAATACTTTTGGTACCTACATGTAGATAGCGCTGCTAAATTACCTACTAGGTTTGGTAACCCAGTAAAAAAGGATTTTTGTTGTTCTGACAGTTGGCTAAGCCTGAAGTCATTTAAGAAGAAGAAGAAGAAGAAGAAGAAGAAGAAGAAGAAGAAAAAAGGATTTTTAATATAGCAGTTTGGACGATTGAGCAAGCCGTCTGCTCAATTGTCCAAACGGCATTTGGACAATTGGACTGGTTGCTCAATTATCCGATGCATTAGGTCCAATCATCCCAAATGTTTTTCGTGGCTAAAAAACTGCTGAATTAAGAAAAAAAGTACTGAAATGTTGCAGAAACTTTAGAGAATTCTTTATTCCAGACAAATACAGAAAAATTAGGTATAAAAATACCTCGAGTGAGGAAGAAGAACAAGATTTCTAAAATATCACTTTTTAACTGACAGTGCAATGCTGTACTTGGAATTTATTTGGCAAAGAAGTGAGGATTCTGATAAAGAGAAACACTTCATTATCCACTCTCAATACTCCTCATGGGTAATATATGTTTGAAGATTTTTAATAATAGTGTATTGACAATAATATTTTATTTTGCTGAATTATCTCTTTTTTAAAATGAGAAACCGAAATCTACAATATATTACCACATGAGGAGTATTGAGAGTGGATAATGAAGTGTTTCTCTTTATCAGAATCCTCACTTGTTTACCAACTAAATTCCAAGTACAGCATTGCACTGTCAGTTAAAAAGTGATATTTTAGAAATCTTATTCTTTTTCCTCACTCGAGGTATTTTTATACCTAATTTTTCTGTATTTGTCTAGAATTAAGAATTCTCTAAAGTTTCTGTAACATTTCAGTACTTTTTTTCTTAATTCAGCAGTTTTTTAGCCACGAAAAACATTTGGAATGATTGGACATAATGCATCGGATAATTGAGCAACCAGTCCAATTGTCCAAATGCCGTTTGGACAATTGAGCAGACGGCTTGCTCAATCGTCCAAAATGCTATATTAAAAAATCCTTTTTTACTGGGAATGCTCTAGACCATGAAAATTTCGTATATTACAGATCTGGAATAACAGTTTAGGGTTTTGCTAACGGAGAATTACCGTTTCGAAGATAATGCAAATTGACAGTTTTGACAATTTAACATTTAACCCCTACCTTTTCTATTAAATTTTTTTTTTTAAAAAGAAGTGGAAAAAATTTTTTAAGTGACCTTTTTATATTTAAGACATACTCAAATTTCATTAAAATTAGCTTCAATTTTGTTTTAGAAAACAAGTAGGTCTTTTATTGCGGCATTAAGGTGCTATGCAATAAAAATTTCATTAAAAATAATTTTTTGTACAAAATATTATGAAAAAATCCGGGAACAGTATATGTGAAAGTGTTAGTTCAAAAATGAACCCAAAAAATTGTATTTAATTTCAAAATTATCTGTTTGAATTTTTTAACTGTCTTATTTATTTTTATAATAATATTATAAAAATAAATAAGACAGTTATTAACATCGGTTTACAAAATTTTGATAAAAATGATCGTTTGATTTTTCTTTTTCCTTCTATAACTCCTAAAAATTCAAATGAAAGGTTGATAGTTGTAGATGCTCGCATGACCATTGAATACCCTTCCAATAATTTAGTTCACTTTTATTTTGTACAAGATTGATATTGATATTATTATATCAAAGTTATTCAAGAAAATCTGATATCGATTACAGACAATTAAAGTGTACCTTTTAATTATTAAAGATATATCACAATAATTAATTTGCTTCTAAGAAACATTTCCCAAACCATAACTCAATATAGAAGAGATAAGTTTAAAATAATACCTGAAGCTATGTCGGCGTTTAGTTTCGGTAGGAGCAAAAAGACCATCTTCTCCCAATCTGAATTCTCTATGTTGTTCATTTTTGAAATCAGAGTCCATAGGTGGTTCCAAACTATTCGTTCGACTTCCAGCGCCATGATTATTCCCCGTATGATTGACTCCAGCCATGTCCAAGAGGCAGTTGAATATGGTTGATCGCTGTTCGAATATTTCAAACCCGTGTCAAATTACAAACATAAGTGTCTTTACATCACGCAGCACTACAGATCCCAAAATTTATTACAAGCATATACAGGCTTTTTCTGATTTAGTTATTTCTTACGTACATCTCTGTCAGATATATTTCAATATCTTTAAAACTTTTTATGGGATAACTTTACCTTTACTACTTTTTTCAAAATCAAAGAAGATTGTCGTGATAATTTGTTTATGAGTTTGCTCATTCTTAAAAGAAGTATCACATTAATTTAATTAATATACATCAAAAGGATTTAAAGTTCTTTGATGGTTTTATAACTGTGAATTCTCGTATGCGATCCCCTATAAATTCAATAGAATTAAACTTAAGAAAAATTTAAACAAAAACTACATTTTTTGAAATTCATTCATTTGTTTAAACGTTATTTTATTCGGAAAATTTATTTTTAGAAAAGCTTGACTTTCGAAATTTGACAAGCACTCAGTGATCTAAAATCTTATTATTTATTTGAGAGACAAAAATTAACATTTTCCAGGTCTCTTTTTTTCTTTATGTGAAGGAAGAAACCATTTTCTATATTTATGCACATTACTAATTCTGAAATTAAGTTTTCAGTGTTATTCTATAAGAAGAGTAAATTTTTTTATTCACAAATTTATAAATATCTTAATGTCTCATCTTCAATAAGGACAAAAATTTTAATAAAAACTAAATTAATGTGTCACAACTTTTACGACAAGATGGGCTTTATCTTGTAAATAAAACTGAACAAAATCAATTTATTATTCTCTTACACAGTTTTACATAACAACAAAAATCTTTCTTTTGACCATGATTTGAAAGCCTGTATATGTTTGTTGAAATGTATTTTAATAAGAGAAAATTCTCAATTGCATATTTGTATGAAAAAAACAGTTGCGTACAAGGATACAAAATAATATCACTTATAGTATCATTTAACGCAATAAGATAGCAACTAATTCCTACATGAAAGTATGTGACTGTTATCTTGTATACATGCATTAATGGATCATTCACTGATACGTTAGTAAATTTTTTAATACTAAAATAGAAATTTCATACACCTTCGTGTATAAGGTATTTTGTTACCAGAATTTTTTATTCTGTGAATTTGGATTTAGTGATATTTACATAATTTATTACAAGTATTTTACATACGTCCATGTAACATCCCACACAGCATCGAAACTTTTCTAAAAGTTGAAATTACCTTCCCAGTGTGCACGTTCTAGAACGGTTCCAGAATTGTTCCAGTACGTGCACACTGGGTTGACTGTAATGTTCGGAATCTTTAGTCACGAGGCTCATTAAAGTTGAAGTAATTCTTTAAATTTCGACTGTTTTTAATGTTTGACGCGAAAGTTGACTGAACATTGCATGAAAGTTTAAAATTTTCTTTAACTCTCATGCAATGTTCAGTCAACCTTTACTTGAAACATTGAATAACATCGGGCATTTAAAGAAAATCTGCAAGTTTCATGGGCTTTGCACTAAAGATTGCTAAGGTTGCAATCAAGCTAATTTCAACTTTCAGGAAATTTTTAGTGCTGTGTGGGATGTACAAGTATAAACTTTCGAATCTTGTAATTTTAATGTAAAAGCTTTCCACACAGCATAATATCTTTCTGGAAGCTGTCACGAAACTTTCCAGGAAAATCAGTGAGGTTCATTTGCTTCCCTGTATCATCTAGTGAAAGGTTCATTTTAAAATTATTCAGAATGTTTTCTAGTATCTTTTTTTTACTATTAGCATGGAATAAAGAATAAACTTTTATTTTGGAATAATAAAAATATAAACATTCCACTGAAAGCTACAGGGATGCTTCCATAAAGATTCCACTGGAATATTCTTTAACGCTTTTTGCGTTAGGCAAACATTTTTAATTTCCTGGAAACTTCCAAGAAGCCTCCATTAGGACTTCACCGATCTTTCGAGTTACTTTCCAGGAAGATGGGGTGCTGTGTTGATTGTAACAATATACAGTGATGTATGGACGTTTTTAATTTTTATAATTCTACATTCTTTTTAAGTAATAAAAATTTGATTTTTCTAAAATTCTAGCATGATGTTCTCCTTACATGAAATTATCATCTAGATAGCAAGTCTAACAGAAAATTGCTTGACAAGCTTCAGACAATATTGTTTATCAGGTTTAATGCAATACTAAACTATAACGTTTATTTCAGTCTGTTAATGAATGAAAATATTAAAGAAATATTGTGGCTATGTTACACTGTAAGATTGAACTAATTGTAAGTAAAAGCAATTTCTATACAATGACTATGTTTACGGTGTGTTATTGCTTTAAAATTTCCATTCAATAACAGACTAAATTAAATGTACATAGTACCAGACATTATGCCACATCTTTAATTAAAGATCCACAATGAGAGACCAATTCAAAAGTGCAGAGGAATTTGAAATTAGCAAAACTCTTTTTAATTTGTTTTTAATTTGGATCCTTAATTCTTCGTATATTCAGTGAGAGATCCATTAAAAGATATGTGTACTAAATACAATTTTCATCTAGTAAGTTAAAAGATATCAAATTGTTGAATATTCTATACAAGCTGTAATTTCAATAGTACACAGACAAAAATGGATACTTTGATTCTTAACGAATCAACTATAGACAAACTATAAAGTATAAACAAACAATTAATTTAGCACCTTATAAATTTCAAATTTTTTGAATTTAAATTAATTTGCTTTTGGAACAGATAAATATAAGAAGTAAAAAAGCTCTGTTTCTGGTTACACATAATATACAAATTTCAGAGCTATTTTATTTTTTTTATTATCCATTATTTTCTATCCATTTTTGCCTATATACATTGTAATAATTATATTAATAATAATAATATATATATATATATTAATAAGAATAATAATATCTAATAATAAGAATACCCACATGAAACGATTTTACCGAAACTCTACCAAAATTCAGTCAAAAATTCCGTAAAATTTTTGCAAATATTACACTTCCCTATTTTTTGGAATTCCGTACTAAATTTCAGTGAGTGGCTTCTGTAGAACCGTTATAAGTGAGTAATAATATCTAATAATAATAAAAATATCTAATAATAATTATTATTTTTTCTACTTAGTAAATAAATTGTATTAGTAATAAGGGTATATAGTGCAAAAAATTTTCTTCTAAAAATTTGTGATATATGCAAAACAAATATAGTGAAATATTTTATTTATTTTAGAGTATAAAAAGTAAAAATTTCGTACTTCAAAAACAACTGTTTAAATCTGATGTAAGTGTTAAGAAAATAAATTTACAATTGAGGGCCTGGATGCTATAAGGTGTTACGCGCCATTTACCTATCATGGCGCGTAACACCTTATAGCATCCAGCCTCTCAATTTATAAAAATTAGGTATTAATAGAAAATTTAATAGTTATGTCTAAAAACAAGCTAGATTATGCTATCCAGTTGTAATAGAACATATATTTTATATAATTATAAATGTGTAAAATAAAAAATAATTCGAGATACTTCCCAGTGGGCACACTTCCTTGAAAGACAACTTCAGAATGTCTCTTTGCGAAAGACTTTCGAACTTTTTTCAAAAGTCACAAAATGTTTTATGACGAGTAAATTTATATCTTTAAGTTGTCAAAAAAAGATGTCTTTGAAATAAGGTAGAATTTAAAAATTTAACATAAGTGAAACATAATTAGAAAAGTTTAATTTCGTGAAATGTTGTCCTGGTGCCCACCAGGTATCCCTTGGCATAAAAATTCAGATCATAACAAAACTCACATAATTATCTTAAATAATACATTAAAGTGCAAGTAAATTTTATAAATAATTTAAATTCTTATTATTAATGCAGTTGATTTTTTTCATATGTGCTTTTAGTCACATGGTTTAAAATCAAATTTAACTTTTTAATTGTTTTTAATCGCGTAAAATTTGTAAATATCCCCATAGTATCTAAATTCGATTTTTCACCACTTCATCTAATAAAATAAAAAAAATTTTGGGCAATAATAAAAAAGTAAGATTTAATTCCACAAAAACTTTTTTTTACACGAAAGAATAATCCATTTAAAAAATGGAAAAAGTGCTGTGAACCACTGCAAAATCTATTTTGTGTAACTTCTTAACACAGATTGCAGATCAGGGGTATTGCTTAATATTGTATGAAAATTGTTGATTTACTATTAAACATTGATCGATTTTAAAGGTTTTTTGATTTATTTACATTAAATCATGTAAATCCAAGTAGTAGTACCTATTACTATCCACAAAAAATTATACCTTATCGTTTTTAGTTTTTTTAAAAACCTTAGATTTATTTAGTATTTTTTTATTATATTCTATTTTATTCAAATTTTTTACAATAAAAGTCTCACTACCTTTAAGAACTAAAATTATAATATGAAGCCTGCAACAACTCGAGCAGCAGCTTAAAATAAGGAGGTCCCAGTAAGAAACAAAGAATTAAACATTTTCAATTCTTATGAACTTCAGACCACATAATGCAAAAAAAAAAAAAAAATAAATAAAGGCAAGCCTTTATTCGAAAAAAATTAATAAATTTTTAGTTTAGTATGAACATATGTCTACTTTTATCCGAGATTCCATCATATTATTTACAGAAAAATTTAATACTGGTTAAAGAATAAACCATAACACTGTTTGGTGACCATAGCAATGCAATAGTTGCAGTCAGAGAATAATTTATTTTAGAACAACATTTTACTTTAAACTAATTAAGCAGTAGGAAAAACGTTAAGATTTTTAAAAGTAACTCAATGAATTAAAGTCATAAATTATTTAAACGTAATGTGTACGTAATGCTACTAAGTTGATCTCTTTGAAACAAAAAAATATTTTGCAGACTCAAGTATATAATATTAATGGTGCAAAGAATCGTCGAAATTATACATACAAAAGTGTTTTTAATGGACTTTTTAAAAATAGTTTTCCTTGTACTCAGTACCTATTTTTAAAATAAT